AGCGATGGCAATAAAAAGTATCTCAAAGCGAGATGCCTTGACTGTGTGCAGTTCGATGAAAACAGCCAAGAAGAATTGCGCGCCTCAGCGATACAAACTTTCATTTGCACCGCCGAGAGATAGAAAGATGAAAACAACAATGATCGACTCGTCGTCTGATGGCGAGGTGTGTGCAGAAGTCGAATTGATCCACTCTCAAGTAAGTGTACTCAATGATTGAAGGAGACCAAATGTAGATCACCGTGAGTATTTCAGGTGAGAGTAATTAAAGTGAGTCATAGAAAATTGCGGGCATTTCTCCGTCTGTCGCACTTGCCGCACAGTCCCAGCTTCTCACATGGCAATTTCCTCGCAATTTGTGCAATTAATCTCCCCAAATTGATTAAACACTCTCCATATCTTCCGCCTCAGTCTCAAAACATGGTCCGCAATCGACGTGAGGTTTTCTGCTCTAGAAAATTGCATCGCGACACTTTGTTTTGAAGTTGTGTGCACTTTTCTTGAGAAATTCCACTCGGCACGCCACTTATGGCCATCCAATCCCACCCAAGATATGTGTAATTCAATTTTCAACTCATTACACAGCGTATCACTATTTTTTCCACCTGACTTGACATCAAATTCATTGGATTCACACATCCAGAGAAATATTCATGCTTTTCAGCTTATACAGAGTGGAGAAAAAACATGATGTATAGCTCGAAACAATTCAGATTCTGCGGCTTTTAATTACACTCGTACGTGATGGCATGATTTTGTAAAAATTTCACGTGAATTTCAAGCTATCCTCAGCAATAATTTGCCTTGCAAAATCACCCATTTTCAGATATAAAATTTCCCTTAAATGTTCGCATCCAGTAAAATATAGATTAATTATATAATTTGACCTGTTGTTTGTGCAAGAAATCTATTTATAAATGCTTGTTGTCTCTGCACAAAGTACGCACCAAAATCCATTATGCACATTATGCATTATATTCCACTAGAATTTACACATTTTACGATATCAACGTTATTTATAGCCATTAAATAACCTCATAATAAATTCAATGGAGGGAAATTTCGACTCAACATAATGCTTATCATAAGGGAATTTAGAACACAATACCTGCTTTTCACCACTCCTCGTCGATTTCTCTGGATGCTGACGTCCGAGTTTTCTCCTTCGGTTAGTGACTGTTCAGCCTCAATCCCAATTTCGTGAAGAAATCTTCAGAGGTGCAAATTGATCAGTGAACTTCTTCGGCTCCCTCATTCGCACTTGCTCATTTGCACATGAGTCTTCAGTGTTAAGATTTCATTTGACTCTTCCTAATCCACTTGTCACTCTGCTCAGCCTCTCTCTCGCTCTCCTGAGGAAATAGAGTGAGCAGGTAAGCACTTTTCGTCAGACTTTCTTCGTGGGTTCGCGCGAAGCACCACAAAAGAAAGGAATCCGATTGAGTTGCAAAACACACACTGTGGCGTTTTTCTCTTGAGCAATATACTAACAACTTCTTTTGAGGAAATATATGCCCACTTTTGTCTGATTGTTTTCCAAATAGGTGAGCAAAAATACACCTTCAAGAGAGACACTTTTCGAGCACTTGAACAAATATCTCACTCACCATTAATTAAAAATTGTTACTCATTTTAATGAGTTCACACTCGGAAAAAAAACAGCCACCACTGCGCTCTGAAACTGTCTGCACGATGTTAATTAATCACACAGGCCGAAAATATAATGGGTGGAATTAAAAGAAAAAAAAATCCACAGCGCCGGGAAGAGACACAAGCGAGGTGTGATGCAAAGAATATTGCAGGAAGTTAAATAAATGTTGCACATATGAGAGAATGGGCAATGAAATAACACTTGAGGAGTCCCCTTGTGCGGCGTTCACGCGACCAGCTCGATTCAAATGAGAATGGCAACTGAAAGTCTCGTGTGTGGAGTTCCGGAGAACGAGGCAACTTACACGCGGCGTGTGTGTGTGAGAGAGGCTCAGCGCACAGCTCATGGCAAGGTGGAGAGGTAACACTGGGCGATGCTACTGGAAGAATGTGTCGAGGTGAGGAGATGGAAGCTCTCGCGAAGAAATGGAACTTTCACGGTGTGCTGGTGAATTTTGACCAGATATCTTCATGTCGTCTCCCTCATACTCGCACCATCTCCGCGAAGCTGCCTGGTATTTCACTGTCTTTTCCTTTTTTACCACCATTTCAATCTCTCCAAACGGCAAATATTTTCTCTCGCATCTTGTAGCCGCCAGAGAGTCGAGAGAAAATATCCATGGGCGTCTTTTCGCGTATCAATTCTCCGCGAGGGAATTTCTCTGATGTCCAGAGGCCTGTCCGAAAAAAAGAGGCAGAATGAGAATTTTAATAACATTACCATACAACTCATGCGTGAAACACTATGACTTGCGTGCTCTGTGAACCGCAACATTGACCAGTTGCGTCTCTCTCGGCAAGTCCATAGTGTTCGCTGAGCCAGAGGAAATTCCACAACTTCACCATAACATTGCATTTTGGAGCTTCTTCTCCCCCAATTCTCGGAAGCTGGTCGCCGGAAGTTCATTCAATCCACCATTGTCGGTTCCGATGCTTGCATCCCTCGAGTTAGTTGGTGTGACTTTTTGCAGCCAAATCATTAACTTCGAGGGGGAGTCTTTGTGATGGAGACTAGAAAGAAAAAAAAACATGTTAATTCGCAGCTCAAATGAAACACACATGAAAGTTTTGAAAAATTGATTGAAGTGCACGCATTTCAAAGATAGGTAGAAAAACTTTTCACACGTTATATATTTCGCGCAAATATTCAGTAGAAGCAATTATTAAAGTTTTATGTTCATCCTGTTCCAGGATGAAAAGGACAAGTCAAACGATCTTTTACAGCTTTTTATTCTCCATACATACATATACTAAATAAACCATTTTAGCAACCAGTAATGTATTTACAAATTAGCTTTCCACTATACTTTAGAGAAATGAAGAATATGTGTAATAAAAAATAAGTATAAATTAATAATATCAAAAGGAATAAAGATGATTACTTCAAAATCAATTCAGAAATAATTAAGACAGAAAAGTGACACGCGCATTTCAACTCCGAAGGATCATTTTATTTTAATCTCTCTATTTGCTTGTACATTTTACACTCGACAATAAAATACATTTACATCCATGAAAAAAAAACATCAAACTTATTAAGTTCCCTTTTACGATGCACTTGCAATGCATAGTAAAAAGAAACTCCACTTGAAAATTTGCATACTTTTCAGTGTTAAATTTCTCATCAAACCTTACGCTTCTGGCCATAAACCCAACGCGCGAAAGAATGGGTGTCTAAAGAGCAGAACATAAACACAATTTTTGTCATTAGCAACCAGCCTGATTCTCTCCCTCATTCTCGCTGAACCTTCAACTCTGCATGAGTCACCGCACTCTGAGCCATTCTTGCTGGTTCGATAACTCCTCAGAAAAGTCTGCGCCCTGAGAAATCAATACCACTTGATGAGTCAGGTGGTCTTCCATGTGAGCCTAAGCACCTGTTCTCGAGTGCGCGCACAAGGTAGCATCAAAGGTAGCTCACCCGCATAGAGACCACCAGGATTTGTGTCCGGAAATAGCGTGATAATTGAATGAGCGAATTGAATTTTATCTTCACCAGCGAGTTCTTTGGCCACAGAACCCGCAATGTCAATGTCAGCGAACCACAACACACACAATAAAGCTGTCTAAATTATCCCAAAACCTCTTCAGGGCACTTTTCCGTAGAATTCAACCGAAAAAGTAGTAATTTCGCGAGAGAGAAAGACCCCTTCGAGAGATTGATATCAATCTCATTTTGAGAGTACAATAAGATTATTGTTGAATTTGAGCATTTCTCAGAGTTGTGCACAACGATTTTTTCTGTCTCTCTATCCTATCTCATGATCGACTTTCACAGAGTTGAATCTGTGCAATTAAGAGCGCGCACTGCCAACAGAACAAACTCTTGACAAAATTGATCCATTAAATAATCGATTTTATTTATAATGGAAAATATCATTGGCCGGAGATAGAAATAGAAGAGGAAGAAATGGTGAAATTTTCTCTCAATCTCCAACATACTTCCTCTGTTTGCCTTTCAGCACATTGCAATAAATTCTCCAATGTCCAGACAAAGTGATTATTTATCGATTGAAGTCAATTGCACCAGAGAGGCAGTCAATTCATCTTCTATCACTCCGCACTTCTCCTTCAGTCATTGTAAAACGAATGAACTCAATGGCTGGCTAGACGACGAACCTGCTCCAGTGCTCTGAAGAGTGACAGAGTTGCAAAGACTTCCTATGCTAGATCAATAAATTGCATCTAAATTAAATGCACACTAATTCCCGTAACACTACATTATTTCACGCCTCTTCCGAGAATCAGGTCAATCAAATAAATGAACAACATATAAATCTTTCCATACGTTCTGTGTCTTATCAACTCTGTACAGAAGCAAAAGTGCACGCACGGTGGATGATTGGTGAGGAAAAACACCACGAGCGAGTGCAAGATTATTGCTTAATCTGAGCTTGGGCACTCTCACAGCAGAATCTCTCCGATGAATCTCATATTCCTGCAATCCCGCGCCATTGCAGATCACATTATGGCCAATAAATAGGGAAAATTGATATATAGTGATAGCGAGGATTTATTTAATCGAAATCGCCGTGATTAATGGATGAAAATCCCTCTCAGCATCACAAGAAGTGATAGTTGCCTCACAATTAGCCCCGTGTGTGCATCAAAACAGCAGCTAATTGGACTCAACTCTATGTTTGGTATGGCAGAAGAATAACTCAAAGAATTGTGTCTTTATGTCTCGCTCTCATCTCGCACATCATCGTTGTTCAGCGATGATGATGGAAAAAGACGAGAATATATGAGCGATTTGTGCCACTTTTACCTCTTAATGTGCACACAAGACTCTCATTGCGATTTACTGATGGCAAGAAGAAAAAAAGTCACTTTTCAGATATTTCATTCTCTGTTTATCTTTCATTTTTTCATCTTCAACATGCCTATTTCATTTTTTTTATACCTTTTACCAAATCAATATAAGGGAAAGACAATTTATTGTATATGTTTGAAAACTCTCCAATCATTTTCCATTTCTAGGATTCTTCAGAATGTCCGGGATAGGCTCTATTACCTCAGATGCATCGCACAGGTGTTTGTAAACCGAATCACACTTCTTGCTCTGACACTGCGAACAAGGCTGTCCCTTCGTGTACACTTTCTCCTTCATCATATTTGTGTAGCAATAGTTACAGGCCACCAGATATTCTTTGAACTTATACTTGTTGACGAATTTAGAAATAGCGCATCCGACTTTGTCACTCTTCTCATGGATGAAAGCTGTAAAATGACCGATGGCTTTCCTGAAAAACAACAAGAAAGGAGCAGTATAAGTTAATAAGAAAATCATAATGTGTATTACTTACCCATTCTTTCCCGATCCTGTTGTAAACATATCCGTATGGCTCTGACTTGCAAGCTAAGAAGTAGAAAAGAAAGAATTTTCATGATAAAACAAAAAAGGAACATTTCGCTTCGTAGGGTTAAAGGTTAATTTCAGGCTATTTTATAAATTATTCCGGAAATATTACTGCCACAAATCGTCTAATAATTTATATAATTTTGTGTTTCACTAAATATCTCAATTCCAAACCTTCAAACTAATGGTAGTCATTACCAAAATAGCTGATACGCTGTGTTGCAAAGGCAGGGCGTAATTGTGCTAATTATCACAGAAAAAAAATTACCTTATACTCCAAGAACCACTCCCTCGTAATATTCTTGATTACGTAGTTGAGGTCCAGGTAATCGGGATAGGAGGTCATTTGCCCCAAGTTCTGTCCAGCATAAGGGCAAATATTCGTTGAGCGACACTGATCATGCTTAAATTCGCAAGTTCTCACGTTATATTCTGCCAACTTTGCCAGTTCATCGTTCCATTTCTGAATCAAAAGCAGTGCGACATGTTATCTTAAGAAAATCAATGGCAAAATGGCCAACATACCAGCATGGGCATCTTTGCAGCTGACTGGAAAGGACTCATTGAGCCACGAGCGAATCTGTCTCGTAGACGATTGTGAATGTGCAGGAAGAGTTTCTTCGTGTCCTCAGTAATTGGCATAAGTTGGGCATCTTTTGGGCAGGTCTTTCTATCAAACTGTCCACTATTCTTGCATCCAATGTGCGGTCTTGCTGGCAGTCCTGGTCCAAATGTGCACAATTTCGGTTGGCAGTAGTTTGTCTGTGTGTGAACAACCACAAACAACGCCACAAAGAACAAAAAGTGTTCTGGAAAGGTGAATTACACATTAGTAGAGATCTTAATCACAGCACAAACACACATTTCCTCTTCTCTGTCATAAACTTACTAATATGCCACATGTCGGAATGATAACTGAACGCTTCACTGGAACACTTTGTGTTTTATAGCGACCAAATGCACTTGAGCACAAATGCAAAAAAGCTCTTGAGAATTCTGCAGCTGATCAATCAACAAACATTATTTCTCAATGCAGTTCTACGTGCGCGTCTTCTTTGCACAGTGGTTCAAATTCAAATAAATCTCGTACCGCAACCACATTTCTCGCGATAATAACTTAAGACGTTTTCGGCTCATAGTGTAGGTGCGCCACCCCCACCTTTTGCTAAATAACAACTCTGCAAAAATCCACTTTGGCCAGAAGTACTTCGTCTTTTCCTGTACTCTGAAAAATATTGCCCATTTGGGGGAATTTCGCACAAAAAGTGGCTATAAAAATGGTATAGAAAAAAAGCATTAATTGATAAAGCAAACAAAGAAATATAATCAATTTTTAATGAGCTCCCTGGCATTTCGCGATATCCGGGATTTACCTATTGCCAGACGAAACACTTCAGAATATGCGATCCAGTGAGGGGATCAGCATCAGGAGGCGAACAAGCACTCAGTCTGCAGTCTGTCGTCTGAAGATAACCGGCTTATTGCTGCAGGTAATCAAGAAGTTTCTTTTACACATTATTTAACAGCCCGTCACAATGGCACTATGTATATGATTAGGTTCATATATATATTAACAGAAAGAAACTTAAACGGTCAGATTCTAGAAAGGAATTGCCTTGTTTTGCCACTGGCGCCTCAAACAAGATAAGTGGTCATCAAGTAAAAAAATAGGAAGATTCAATACTTCAGTATAATATATATTTATGATTTGATACATAATTTCAGCCCAACTACACAATATCGTATGTCATTATGCTGCGATGTTGGTAAAATCAATTTTTCAAAAATACGCCAACACACACATAATTTATGTTGGTAATATATGAACCATTGGCAAAATTCCCAATTTTTTCATTACAATCTTACATACATTTTCTGTACCTTGTATCGCCTTCCGCATTTCATTCATGTGTTTTTTTTTATTTCATATAGCATCATCTTCATCACTCTCACCCATGAACGCTCAATGAACGGCGCGACGTGAACACATTTTTTCGTCGTCTTGTCATCTCTACTGTTGTGATTTACGTGAGACATTTGTGCGCTTTCCACGCGACTCCGTGAGGATGTTATTGATAAACTCTCCAAAGTCATACCCCAAACGCGTGAGGATGCCGCCAATCACGTCGAAGACTTCAAGGAGGCAGAACGCATCCAGTGCCGCATAGTGGATTTGGTCTTGACGCAGCGGTCTCTTCTCCCAATTTGAAAACTGATTGGACTTGTCCAGCTTCCGCCCCAGACAGAGATACACCAGATTGCTCAGATTCTCTCCCGGTGGAACGCCACTAGAATGCTTGTCAGTGGCCGCGCTGAAGGGGAAGCGAAACTTTGGCAGATGAGTCACATGTCGCCGAAGCTCTTGTAGATCAAGATATCCAGCCGCCAGTGACGCCATAGGCAGGAGATTGAGTGTAGGCAGAGATTTTTGGAGTACCAAGATGTCCGTGGCCGGTGAGAAGCCCAACTTGAGGATTTCGTCATTGTTGAAAATCCACCGGCCAAGTCGAATCCAATCCTCACTTTGTACTCTCAGGCAAATCACATCGATCAGGTAGATTCTGTTACGCGTCGCGAGTTGAATAAGCGCCACATCGTTATTCCCATGGAATGTTGGCTTCCACTCCGTGTCAAAGCCCACAACACTCTGTTCGCGCAAATGGTTCATCATTTCACAGAACTCTGGACGCGTTGTCACGAGGTGAACCTTCGTGTCGCTATTAAGTCCATGAAAGTCCTCCTGACGCTCCTTCGTCTCCTCATCCCAGTCATCCGGGCAGGAGAACTTCGAATACGTTAGCGGTTGTCCTGTGACCAGTTCACGCACGCACAGCGGCAGAAGAGAATGGGGCACATCAAAGTGCTTCGCCCACATTGCACCATCGGATATATCACCATAATCCGAGCACGCATTCACGAGCTCCACGTGCAGATCATTAGCATCCATTGGCACCGTCACCTTAACCATCTCCTGCCAAGAATCCTTGTTCAAGCTCTTCTCCACGAATCGCTTGTGGATGACAAACTGCAGCGCACCGTGATTGTGCCTCTTATTCATATTTGGCGTCAGTTCCTTGGGCAGATCGTACATTTTGGCCAATCTCTGGATGAGTTTTGTCATTGGTTTCGTGTCCAACTTATTGTACCGAACATCAGGATAATTGTACTTGGCGATCAGCCATCCGCAATTGTTCGCCACAGATTGCTTCCTATCCAAAAATGTATCCAGCAACTCCACGAGTGGCCTCCTCAAGTGCACAGCCCCATTGAGATACTCCTCTACCACAGTTTCCTTGTCCTGCAGCAGCAGCGGCAGCACCAGTTCATACAAATCGAACTCCTGAAAGAGTTCCAGTTCCGTCGCTATTTGGCACGCTTCCTTGTACTCCTGCTGCTGCACCATCGCCTTCACCTCACCCACGAAGAGTGCCTTGCTCTCCACAAGATTAAACGCATCTTTGGCCACCTTGAAGAGATTCAACTGTCCCTGTCCCTTCACGAAATTAAACGCCACCATCTTCAGATTGTCATCCACGTGCTTTGCAACATTGGAATTGTTGCTCTTTTTGTACTTCTGCAGCTCTTCGAGAACTGAAAGACAGACAAGGTGAGTTTGTCAGTCTTCTAAAGATTTTCCTCAAAAGAGAAATTTGACGATTTTTACTCACTAGCATACGCCATACTATTTGGCTTGATATTCGACAAATTTAGACAGTCTGCAAACAGCTTTAAGCTCGTTAGAAATGGATTATCGCAGGTTGTGTAGAAGATTTGCAATGATTTTGACACAACGGGACCTTTTTTGTCTGCAAGAAGAGAAGGAAATACAATGTAGATGTGAAATTAGAGATTCTGCGAGTCTCAGCATAATTAGGTCAGTGTCAAATTGCCAACTCACATTGATTCCAAATCTGCTTAAACTGCTCAAACCACACTTGTACTTCCGGCGACAGTGTGGCATCGAAAGGCTTCCCATTCAACCCCGCATTCTGCGTTCTGTCCGGAACAATTGTAATCTTCAGATTTCCCCGCGTCTTCAGGACAGCACTCTCAAGGGAATCATCGAGGTCCGATTCAGACACCTGCAGATAGACAGACAATTAGCATAAAATCATCATGGAGCGCCCCAAAACTCACATTGGCACCACAATCGAAAAGCTCATCATCATACTCATCGTCACTCAAATCAGCCGGATACGGAGCATTCGACGCCTTGGACATCCTCGTATACATTCACGTCCTTCCGGTGTGCAGAAAAATGGTAAATCCCTTATATTTTATATCACAAAATCGCTTAAATTGCATTTATTTTGCACTCTGCACCTTCCGAAACGTCTTCCTCACAGCACTTCTCCATTGACACTGGACGAGGTGTCAATTCTTGACGAAGAAACTGCGCCTCGGCTCACAACCCAAGATCACAACCATAACCGATTGAGCGAGAAACAAACTTTAGCATTTGAAGCATTTAAAAACTTTCTATGTGATTTCCAAATTAATTGCCAGAAAAACTGTATGAAATTCAAGACACAAGTATTGATTTAGCAGAACCATAAAAAAAAGTGTTGCATTCAGTGAGCAATTTTCATGCTTTCATGTGTGATTTTCCACAGAAAATCAATCATTGGCAAGCAGTAGTATAGCATAATAATCGTGAAATGCTTATGGTTTTGCTGCTGTTTTTAATTCTACAATCTCGATCTGATTTGAAGATTGATTAATGTGATAGAATTGCAAGTGAATCGAGCTCTGCCTGCATATATACAAATATTTACACTTTGCTCAATTTTAATTAAAACGAGAAGAATGCTAAAAAGAAAAATTCTAAATATCGTGTGTAGAGAATATAAAGATAATATACAGACATAACTTGGGGATTACAAAAAATAAAAAATATATAAATAAACACTCTTTAAGAAACAGGTTTATAGTAGAACTTGGCAAAATTCATCTATTTTCTTAGAATCCCAGGCCTAAGGATAAATGGCAATCACGCATTCTAAGAAACATCTATATGATCTTCTAGGGCGTTTAAAAGTAATATCTATGAAATATGCAAATTTGCATTGACTTGCATTTTAGTTACGCTTCTTAAATCATTCTACAATTTGATTGTTTCAAAAATCTTTGCCGCCTTTTTCCGATAAACCGGCTTAAAGGCGGGAAATTGAAGCACCTGACGTCATTACCAGGTGAAATTACATTCACATATGATTTTTCACCTACACCGTTGCTCGCTGTCTGTCTCTATCGCTCTCCTACTTGGAGAAAATTACACAATTGTACTCGATTCCACGTCGAATCGTTATGCATTTGAGCGCGACGATGAAGTCACGCACAGGTGAGTAAAAGTAAATGCTATACACGGGCTGGAGAGACAATACATTGGCACTCACCTGGCTCCAAACACAGCCAAACGGCAACCGGTCGGTGGAAAAGCATCATCATTATTAACCTGGGGGAAGAGTGCATCCGCCAGTCTTTTCTCTTTCTCTGCGCTTCTTCTCCCCACTTTTCCTCGTCGTCTTCTTCGTTTGTCCATGACGTCGTGGCGTCACGTGACCACCCGTTAAACAACTTTTAATCGCGGACCGCACCTTATACGCTCAACACCTCAATTTTCCCAGTGTTTTTGTGTCCGTCGCGATGGTGATTTGTATCTGGAATCGCTGTAGAATGAAGTGAGCTTTTCGCAATAACCACAGACTAAATGCAGGATTTTACGTGAAATGTGATAAAAAGTGTGCCTAAAAATCGTTTTTACTGCCTACAAACAGGTGTGTGTGCGGGAAAAGGGAGAAAATTGCGAGGGAAATGCATAGATGAAAAATCCAGTGTGAAGTTTGATGCTAGTCGCAAAGCCACATAAAAATCTGTACATTTTTCCCACTTTTCATCGATTTTTCTCAACATTTTGCCACTATGGTGGTACAAGAAGTCACAATGAGTGCATTTCGCATGGAATAGGGTGGAAATTTGCCCATTTTAGATGAAAAATTGTGTGAAAACCACACGAAAGTGCAGATAAAAGTGCTCTGAGGGCGCCACTGATGCAGTGCGCCATCATTCTCATCGCGCACTCCAAAAGAGAGGCCCCCACAAACACCACCTCATCTTGCGCGCACGGAAAACATTGGAATTCTCTCCACTCTCGCATAGTTTCTTTGTGGCCACGAATGCCACAACACTTTTGTGTCCGTTACCAGCATTTTCACTCGGTATGGGAGCTTTTTTAAATCCCGCAACGAGTCAGTTGAAAATTGTGTGCTGTGCTGTTCATTTGGCGCCACCGCCTTTTTCCCATGCGATCGTGGCACTAAAAATTGTACCTTTTAAGTCTCTCTCACACCTTCTCTCGCTTTGTGAAGAAAAAAATTCACAAATATACTGTGTGAATCGTCTAAGAAGCGAGTAACAATTACATAATTAATCAAAAAGGTGCCTTCGAGGGCGAATTTTTGGTGTGATCGCGATCATTTTCACCACGATCGCAGTGCTTAGTGTCTCAAAAACACCAGCAAAAACACTTCGTTTCCTCAATTACGGGGAAACTCTGACAAAATTGTGCAATGAAAAGTGTGACTCATGTACAGAATCATCAGGCAAATCACAGAAAATGAGTGAGACACTCAGAGAGATCGTGGTATTTGTCATGCTCAATATTGGAAATATATGTATACTCGTGTTGTCTTTCGGTGTGACCTCGATCTGTGCATTAATCGCGATTTTGAAATGAAGCCACTGAGCATGGCAATTGCGAGTGCAGAGCGCAGTGACGAAAGAATTTGCACCATGTTCAATGATCGCCTTTGTCACCTCTATAAATGAGACGTGCGCGATGTGCCAGAGACAATATCAATTGTCTGGCCACAGCATTGGATTTTTCACGCCACAACAGCACCTTAAGATGAAGAGAGAGTGAATATTTGATGTGGAAGATGTGCCTTTCGAGTTTTCGCGTAAACAAGACTAAATTATTTAAATAAACTTATATGGCCAACATTGAGAAAATAATCTCTGAGGAATACCTCTGAATACATTTCAAAGGCTTTTATCTACTCACTGTTTTTTTGTTCCGCGAATTGATTGGGAGTTTTCTTATCCTTATCAAAAGTGTGATTATAAAATGTGACTAGACATGAATACTTGAAGATGTGAACTAAAAAGCTTTCATATTGTGATTTATGCAAGGAAAATATTGTGTATAGAAGCAGAATAGAACGATATTCATTTTTGAGAATACGAATTTCTGAAATCAAGCAACTTTTGGTCAAATGTGGGACGAATAACCCAAAATTCTACGATAATATTCAAATCTCTCCTCAACATAAGGCATTCTTGTGGGCACGCAATTCTCCGACTCTGTCACATAAATCGTCATTTTTCAGGAAATTCACCATCCGCAAAATCAATTTTAACCACTTCTCTCTAGTGCATTCGATTGAAAATGTGAATTAAAAGCGTGCAAGAGAGTTGGCAACAGAGAACGATGGAAAAGATAGTGAATAGTGTGAGAATGTTGTGCAAAAGACACAAAAGAAGTGAAATTAAATCAATAATTACCGTGTGCATTCTATCTGTGATTCTCCAATGTGTTCGAGGACAGGATGTCGAGCTCCTCAATGAAATCGACGGCTACACACTTGAGCCGCACTCCACGGAGCACCATCCGCAAACGCTGGATCATGTCCAAGAGACGAGTGAGTTCATTGAACTTCCGGGCGGCTCCGTCGCCGCCGAGAAGATTCTCCATCGCGCCGAGAAGCCATACCTCCTTCTGTCCGACCTGGACGTCGAGACGTCGGGCCGTCTGGTGATCGAACCCGGCGTCACGCTGCACTTCGCGCCCTCGGTGGGAATCACAGTACGAGGCGTCATTCAAGCCGTGGTGAGTTGTGCCCAAAGCCCTGCAAGTGCACGAGAAATAGTGGATTTATCAAACAGTGGCCAAATATTGATTCAACCCACAAAACGAACAACCTGTTTCGCTGACTTAATTCTCTCGTCGTGTTCTGGCTTCTTATCTTATCGCGCTTCAAGCAAAAACCTATTCGATATCCTAACGAAATTTGCGGGTGAACTGAGCAAGGTGTGTGAATAATCACTCGCCCAGAAGGTACTTTATCTGATAACAGCGCTGTGATAAGGGCGAAACAAACTCCGTGTTATTCTCTCACAGCAAAACGCGTCAATCAAGGTGGAATAGCGATGCGCCGGAATGTGTGTTAGTAATTCATTTTCCAGGAAAATGTATTATTCATTTATCGAGATGAACATTCTATTGCATAGGAAGGAAATTTATGTGACGAATGCCAAAGAGCAATAACTCAAATAATCCGCTAGATCACTTCCGGCACAAAATCCTATGATCGTTTTTATTTTCATTTAAATCTCACGCGAAGTAAGAGAAGCTCACTCAATGATTTGCTAGATTCTCTTTGCTAAATTTTTGACGAGAAAAATTGCTCTATACCTAATACAGTTGTAGATTTAATGAACTGGCCTTATAACTTTTGATACTTATCTCTGAATTATTTATGAAAAATTCAACCAAGCATTGAGAGTTATAGGGGCTCGAAAAGTACACCGAGAGCGCAATTCAGACTCATTCACAGTTTATTATGAAGATAATGGAGATTAGAGCTTATTACCCATGTTTTAGCTACATCTAAAACAACTTTTTTATACGAAATCATCTCAGGTATAAATTGTTTTTGTCTACAATACTGACGCAAGTGATGTTTTAGTCAAACGATATTCATTCGCCTAATTTGGTCAAGAAAGTAAGGTTTGTGTTCTCATTGAAATAACCACAACTCTGTTCTTTGTCTTTTATTATGATTATTACATTATTATTGGTTTTGATTGGATTCCTTTTGTCCGTAAAGAGTAAACCCAGTATTTAAAATTATAAACGAGCTCAATTACTATAAAAATAGTTAAAAGTGTTGCAATTTAGCATACTTATTGAAATGGTTACAGAGAGAGTAAATTCTCATCATAAGTGAGCCATAAGCGTGCACCGGTTAGAAAGAGTTCCACTATCAAGCATATCAAACAGAAGGGCCATTGAATTTCATTGTGAAACCCCAGTTATTTTGCGTTCCATTTCTTTAGTCCAGTTTGTAGCTTTTTGAGGAAGTCTCTTAACATTTTATGCCATTTTTGTCAATTTCTTTTTTCTTTCTGCCTCGACTCTTTAATTGAATAACCGGCTTGACACGCCGCAACAATGGTTACCAGAGCGAAAGCTGCGGTTGGCTAAATTCACCAACAACAGTCACAGTTTGTAAGAAGGCTTGCAATATGTTTTCTCCCATTTTCCCCTGTCACGAAGAAATGCTCAAGGGAATATTGTGATGGTTGAGTTCTGAAGTGGAACCGTTGGAATATAGCTTCATAAGAAGAAAATTAGTAAAAAGGAATACGGATAGGGAGAGAACTCACCTTGAGCGCGTGGGTTGATGACCCTGACTGAAATGTGTCGTAATGAAGAGAAATGTAAGAAAAACCTCGATTCAGACTTTACTATCTCTTGAAGCATTTAAAATTCTCTCTGTGTCATCCGTGGTGTCTCGCAAGCATAAAATACATTTATGATGAGTCACTAAAGAACTCCCAAATGATAAACAACACTGAATCGATTGAAGTGCCTGGAAATGTGTTATTTTTAAGTCTTCAACTGGCATTTTGGGTCATTATGGCGATTGGATTTGTATTTCCACGGGTAACAAACCGACCGCACAGGCAATTTCTCTGAAAATTGATATTTTCCCTCCCACTCCAGCAGGCTTTGTTTACAAACATACTATACCGTCTCTCTGGAGTAGTAACAATTTTTCCCACATATGTACAACACACCTTTATTTAGCATATTGCCATGTCGAAAAGGTGAATGTTGCAGGCTCTTTTTTGCAGCACGCGAAAAGTGGAAATAAACAACGGAATTCTCTAGTAATGCAAAAAAAGCCATACTTCTTTGTGTGTCTGCCTTCGTCACAGACAATGATTTTCTGAGCATATGTGAGATAATTTGTGAATAAGATTTTTTTTGCCAACCCTCCTTTATGTATGCTTTTCGTATAGTTTTCTTTTTCTTATGGCCACAAGAGAATTTCAGTGTCAATTGAGCAAATGTTTGAGAATTTCTCACCTACATAGTTTCCATTAAAAATCACTTTTCATGTGACTGGTTGATGTCTCTATGTTTCACGAAGGCAATTGTTATGCCAAAGGCCGCAAAGTTTCAATTACAACCAGAAAACTTATAATATGAATGAAAAAGAATTTCATGGCAATTCTTACGATAAACCACACTTCAAATCATTATCTCAATTATTTCCTTATATTGCAAAAATTGAAATTTCTCTATTTAATCTAAGAAATTTCTCTGAAAAACAAATCAATTTCGCATTTTACAAAAGCCTGTAGAACCAGGCAAGGAAAATATGCCGTAAATGAGATGCAAATTGCCATTTTTCCTAATCACACGCAACAAATTACTCATTCACACGGAGTATTTGCAAGGGAGGGGACAAACTTATGAATGAGCGGAGTCACTCAAGTTGAAAATGACCGGAAATTGGAAGGCAAGAGGAGTAATTGTGTGTTTTATTTTAATTGGACATGGTTCTTGGGTGAATCAAGTGCTCGTGTGACACCCCGCAACTTGGCTCTGGATTAATTAATTTAATTAGACACGCGGATTGCACTGTCACAGGGCGGTGACCCACTTCCCAATTGAGATCATCTAAGAGGTGACAAGATCACCAATAAAAAACACATCACTTGAACGCCAATTTAAGATCTGTTGATTGAGGCGAAAAAATCACTCTATAACTTCACGGTTTGTCTTGGAAAATTTATCGTCAACTCACTTATTACACGTTCATGCGGGAAGAAGTCGCAGGAGAGCATTTTAGCGTAAAGTCAGCTGAGTGCTAATTTAAATTGGGTGTGAATGCACTACAAAAGAAACAAGATAATTTCATCTTATTAATGCCAGCAGATAATTTAATCACGGAGGCACAAGGGTTCAAGAACTCAAGTGGTTACACAATTAATGAATGCTAAAAATCGTGTGCCCTCTAGGAATTCCACAAATGAGACAATAATAAGAGCCCTTTTGATGTCTTAATTGCCAGCAATTGCTCAAGCTAACAAGCCTCGAGCCAAGCCCCAAGCTGATTTTGTTGTTTGCTGTTCTCCACAGGGAAGTGCAACAAATAAAATTATCTTCTCACCACGACCCACGTATCATGATAGCCAGTATGATGAGGGAACCTTTGTCACACCTGAAGATCTCGGGGCTCGTCTTGTGGACGGCCCAACACCACTGGAGGGACGTCTGCAAATCTTCCACAAGGGAAAGTGGCGATCAGTGTGCACGAATTCCAGGAAGTGAGTATTAAAGTTCTAGTTCAAACATTCACTCTATTAGCGACTTCCACATTTCTTTTCGGCTAAAGGTAAATTGATTTCACAAGAAAAGTCTAATATCTTTCTTATTTCTACAGCTGGACTATACCAGACTACGAAGTTGTATGTCGTCAGATGGGCTTCCAAGGTGGACGCTTCTGGAACTGGATGGATAGGATTCAAAACTATCAGCCACGTCTACTCTATGAAGAGCCAGAGTGTCACGGGAGCGAAGATAGCCTTTTCAAGTGTTCCTGGGATCGTCGTCAGTTAGGATCAGGCGTCTGTGATTATCACAACGACATTGGCGTTCAGTGTCTTCCACTTCACGCTAGAGAATCCCACTATTGGCGAGGAATACGCTTCGAATACGCCTTGTCAGATCCCCAGACAACAGACAATGCAGTCTTTGAATCCGTCTCACAATCAGAGATTAGATTTGCTGACATTCTGAGGGCAGGATATGGTTTAGGCGGCGCAACGACATCTGCCATTGAAGTTCTGGGCAATCCTCCCGTTCTTCGGCATGTCACAGTCGATCACTCTGCCTATACGGGAATTAACGTGACACGATCAGATGCAGCATTTACATTTCGCGATGTCGTTGTACGAAGAAGTCGAGGAATTGGCATCTTCGTCAACTCCAGCTATGGTCTAGCTCATCTCGAGGGATGCACAGTGAGCAGTAGTGGAGCTGATGGAGTGAAATATCACGGACATGATTGGAGATTCAACGAACGCCCAGGACAATTGAGGATCTACGAATTGTGCTCTCTGCCCACAACAGCTGGACAAATCTATCCCATCTGGCTATCTGTGGATCAATCCCAGTTCTCAGCCTTGCCTAAAGAGTGCGGAAAGTACTTTTTCACTCGGCCCGGATTTGTCCTCACCGTCTCGTTCCAGCAATTCGTGTTAACTACCAACGAAACAGCACAAATAGAAGTCTTCGACGGAGCATCACCCAATGATCGACTACTGGGGATTTGGTCAGCACGAAACTACACACGTGCGCAGAGTCTCACTAGTACTAGAGAGAAGATCTACGTGAGATTCCAAGCGCAGGCCAGAGCTGAGATGGTGGGATACATCCGACTAACTGCTGGCCAGAGCAAAACCTATGATCTCAATGTCACAAAGAGTCGCATCGAGGACAATGGCGGACCAGGTGTTGCTGTGGGAAACCTCAGGTCGCAAGTGCACATCCACACGAGTATGATCAACAACAATGGCCACGCCGCTGGTCTGCATGTTGTCAACGGAGCGGGTGATGTTAATGTTACCGAGAGTCGGATTGGCTTCAATCAGGGCAGCGGCATCAACATCACATACTTTGGTGGGAATCGAAATGTCTCACGAACGTATCTCACGGGAAATCGCGAGTATGGCTTTGCCGTGTGGCTCAATCAAACAATCCACAAAGACAGGGAAGAGTACTTTCCTTTCAATCAAACCACTGCCATTCAGTATTCTGAGATATTCAGGAACGTCGAGACCGGTATTTACCATGGGAACTTCTCTGGTGATTCCTGGGTCAATATAACCGGAAATTGGTTTAATGACAGCATATCGAACTCTATTGAGATTCAAACATGTTGGTTTCCCGATCAAAACGGCAAGAGATTAAATCTCCTCATAGGACAAAACATCTTTGAGCATGACAATCGGATAGGAATACTGATAAATCCTGCCTTAAATCTGCACGGCAGAATTGAGTTTAACGAATTTCGAAAAGGAACATTTGGAGCCTTATTGATTAGAAATCGGCCATTAGAAGAGTTTCGGCAAATACCAGCCAGAATTATTGTTCAGCACAATCAATTCTACCGCAATCGAGGCATTTATGTAGCCTCTTTGGGACTTTCGCCGTACACAACAAGACGCATTCAATCGATCCTCTTCACCAGAAACTTTATCAAGGATAACAAAATTCAGGAGGCCTTCGGACCAGCTGATGACGAAGGTGTAGAAGGAGAAGCAGGTGTTGGAAGACTCAATCCACGCTCCCGCGTCGCTGCTCCTGTTGTGATCTCTTCAAGCAACGTTGACATCTTCCGCAATATCTTCTTCAATCCTGACTCCAAATACGAAGTAGGATCTCAACTCTCAGATCAAAGCGAAGTGCTCAACGTTACATTTAACTATCTGGGACACACAGATGAGGCGAAGATCTTCGCCAAGCTCTTCCACAGATATGACAGGTAAAGTCAAAACATTGCAACCTGATTAGATAGAAAGTTTAACAAATGTATCTCTTTTTTTCAGATATGATCTCGCCAAGATAAACTACTTTCCTTATTTGCTGCATCCGTCAAATCCAGGAACTAACAAGATCTCATCCAACCCAACTTTCGTCCCTTCTTTCCATTCTGACTCTTTCGACAAAATCGGCGGTGAGATTGACGGACAAATCACACTCACTAGTGGCACATACACCGTTGAGAAGGATATCAACGTTCGACCTGGTGGAAAACTAGTGATACATTCAGGTGCCACTCTCAATTTCATACCAAATGTCGGTCTTATGGTGGCTGGAAAGCTTGAGGCCAGAGGACGTCGTCCGGATGATATTGTCTTCACGCTCAAACGTGAACCTATCGCCACTGCAGACAATGAGACAAATGAAGCCTTCACTGAAGCGGAAATGATGGATACAGAAACGGAGCCAAACGTTGAGACAACTCCCACAATTCCAGTGCGTCTCTTGGGTGGTGATGATGAGCATGAAGGACGCCTTCAAGTGTATGTTGATGGTAAATGGGGAACAGTTTGTGACTACGGATGGAATATCATAAACGCTGCCTTGGTGTGTCACCAATTGGGATTGGCACTCAATCCATACGATTGGAGACTTCAGCGATCAGAAGTCCCTGGCGCTGGCACTTCTGAAGACATTATCCTGTCTCATGTACAGTGTACAGAACATGACATTGATATAACACAATGTCGAGCTGAGCGAGCAGATCGTGGAGAGTTTGAAAACTCCTGCACTCATGAGCACGATGTTGGCATTCGATGCTACGAAGGCGCATGGGCAGGAGTGAGATTTGGTGTTCTGGCAGAAAGGGTGGACCTTCAGTATGTGACTATTGAAAAGGCAGGTGTTTTTGACTACTCCACCAACACTTTCAAGCCTGCTCTTCAGATGGACTTTGCTAGGCACAATCTCGAAAATGTCCGAATTGTTAACAACCTTCATGACGGACTGGGTGTGGTGTATTCAGACATTTTTGGAGGAAATGGCATAAACAACGTCATGCACAGCGAGTTTGCCAACAATCGTGGAAATGGAATTAGTCTCAAGCAACTAGGACTTCGAGTGCAATCTTCCAATATTCGGGACAATGCAGCTTCAGGCATCAATCACGACCCTGTGCTTTCTGCTGTAGAGCAACGAGAAATAGCAGGATGGTTCCACATACCCACGGACAGGAATGTCGAACCAGATTACAACGCTGAAGAGTCTCACTACCGACCTTTCATGCTGCCCGATCACAACGAAGCCATCGATCTTGAAACATGGCAGATCTATCACATAGTAACAAGGAAGCACATCGGAGAATCCGTCGAAAGGACGTTCAACATCCGTTGTCAGCCAGGCTATGTGATTGGCATTCAACTACTTAATCCGGTCGGAAATTACTCAACAGAAGACATCTTCATTCACGATGCCCAAACTCCTAACCACAGATCAGACATCTGGCAAGTGTCGAGAGATTTATCCGTGTTTCCAGTCACTAGTAGCTCTTACGGTATAATTCTGCACTACAGAAGTGGTGAACTGGGTCTTGGTGGAGTAGTTCTCACTCTATCAACCATTCCTGCACCTGTTCAGAACATTCGCAATCGAATTGTCAGAGGTCCAGTTCCAACACTTTACGTCACAGGCAGTAAAATCCAGAGAAATCATCGTGGACTGTCTGCAACGTACTACAATCGCTATCTTGGCGAAAAAGGAGAACACTACCTTCGAAAGGCAAACGAATCGATGAAGATAGTCAAGTCCGAAATCAGTCATAATCGCTACGAAGCGATGTTCATTCATGCTCCATTCTGGGATGTTCATGAGAGCAATATTTCTGAAACAACTATTCACATTAATAGTTCCATGATCATTGAAAACGGACGAGGAATTCGACAATTCTCCAAAGATTTGCGATCATCGAACAATCTCTTCCATTATGTCCTGCAAGACACAACAGTTGAGAGAAATTCCTTGGGAGGAATGGAGTTAAGTCTACCATTTGTGTGGCAGTACAATGAAAATTTCACCCATTCTGTGTATTTAGGCAATGGAACGTGGACAAAGAATCGCAACTTTGGTATCATAATATCAGGACATTACGCTGCAGTAAACATAACAGGAAATACCTTTTCGGAGAACACTTGTTTGCACGGATTGATTGGTTTCCGAGGGATGGAGAAGAAGTTGAAGATAGACAACAATAGGATCACAGATAACAATGGAAGATTCATGGTTGAATTCAAAGCGGACAGTCAAAGTGAGATTCTAGGAACTGTGCACGCTGTTTTCATCCTAAATGACATACGAAACAATCGATATGAAGCACCAGGACTCACAAGGGGTCTGTCAATGGCGCTTCGCGGTCGCCAGCAGCGTCGATCAGATCCCACCACGGTGATTGGCTTTGGAGGCATTCAAAAAGTAATGATCAGACGAAATCTAATAACGAGAAACAATTTGGATTACGATCTCGTGGCAGGAGTGATATCAGCTAGACTCAGCAATTTCTTGGATGCCACAGAAAATTGGTGGGGTTCAATCGAAGTAGATCACATATTCTCGAGGATTTTCGATTTTGACGACTGGAACAATCATGCGGAGGTGATCTTCCGACCTTTCCTCCTAGAGGACAACGTCGATGCCAGCATGTCTGTGTCATTTGACGAGCGAAAACCAGTGGATCTGGATAATTTGGGTGGCAGGATATTCGAGGATCTCTCACTGTATCGACGAGAAGTTCCGTACGTGATTAAGAGTGACATCACAGTGATGCCCGGAGTGACTATGACAATTGGAACTGGAGTTGAAATGGAATTTGCACCGAATGTAGGAATTTTAGTGTTGGGCACCCTTCAAGCCATGGGTAGCAGTAATGGCGAAATTATCATGAGACCCATCGCGAGACAAACAGCTGAACTGAATCGGGTGGAAAGAGCACTTGAAAACCTCGTGGTTCATGATTCCATTCGTCTCTGCACGAACAGAAATTGCTCTTATGATGAGAACGAAATTGATCCAACACACCAAGGCTTTCTTGAGTACTTCAATCACACCACACTTCAGTGGGTTCCAATCTGTGATCGCCGTTTTACAGAGAGGAATGCTCAGGTGGTGTGCAGAGAGCTCGGCTTTGATCCTCTGAACGTCTTTTTCGCTCATGACAGACGAATTGAGTTCCACATAAATTCCCTGACGCGGATTTGGTCATGGGTGGAGCCTCTGGAGTGCGAAGGTGATGAAAATCGCCTGGAAGAGTGTCCTGAAAGGCTGAACGGACAACTCTATGGACGTCGCCATGAATGCCACTGGTTCTCAGACTTTGTCTTCGTGAGTTGCCAAGGAGATCCGGACAAGAAGGATTACTGGGGCGGCATTCGCTTCGCCAATCCCCATTTCGAGAATAATCTCTATGAGCATCGCTTGCAAGATTCTCGAGGCAGCAGAAGACCAAGTGAAAGCACTCTTGAGCAGGTGAGGATCGAAAGTGCGGGAATTCTACATGGAGAAAAATCACCAGCTGTTCAGGCTATATTCAAGAATCCACGAATTGCTTCGGTGACTGTGAGGAATTCTGCTCATCACGCTGTGAACTTAGTCTCACCCACTGCAAGTGTGCATGTTCAATTCCTCCGAGTTTTCGGAACACTCGGTCAGGGAATCAATGCGATCTCACTAACAGGAGAAGGCAGAGAAAGTGATGAATCCAGTTTCACACCATTAAGATCTCTAGACTTGCCCTATTCTCTATTCTCGCTCATTGATATCTGCGACACGGAAAAGGAGATCACGATCGAAGAGAGAGTTATTGTGTACTACAAATACGACAATAATCCAGTGAATTGCGTGAAGATCTTTAACAGTGCTTATCGAGTGAAACCTCTAGGCTTCCGTTTGCTTCAGTCAAACCTCTTTAATCACTCCCGAGAGTATGGACGACGAGATGGCATCCATCTCTTCGACGGAGACATTTACAATGTCACAGCTAAGAAGATTGGAGTGATCGAAGCGGATTCAGGCAATGACAAGTATCTCTTCAGAACCAGAATGCCTTCCCTCAGTGTTCGCCTTGTGGCCAGTGGAGCTCCTGCTGATCATGGCTTCTTCGCCGAAGTTGTAACACTTCCGATCTCTGCAATTGGCTTCAGTGAGTATATCATCAAGTTCCCTTCATTTTTTTACCTTATGATCCTCAACCTTATAATCTTGCAGATCGTGATTCACAACACAATATTTCCAACTCTGAAATTTCCGGAGCAATTAAGGGGGCTGTTTCCTACTCAACTGCCGGTGAGGTCTCACCAACTCTTACTCTTGAGCATAATCGCTTCATGAGGAATTGCATACAACTGTATGGAAACTTCTCAACATGCGAATCCACAGTGAGACTCGATGTGCAAAACATGCAGTCGCTCTTCTTCAGAGTAAGTTTTTCTTTTCCTGCCAAAAGATCACATCCATAACTGAAGCTGTTTGTTTTATCTCACTTTAGAACAACTTGGTGCAGTGGAATCAGGGTGGTTTGTCAATAAGATCAGATTCTCGAGGATCAGCCACATCCCTTCGCGGTTGGGTGCATCATAATCTCTTCACAGGCAACAGAAATCGTCCAGCACTCTATGTCGAGGGTCGCCAATCGTCTCCATATCAGGAAATCACAGTCTTCAAGAACTACTTCACACAAAATCTGGCAGCTTATGAAAATGTGATCGCTCTCAAACAGGTTGTTTCAAATTTCTCCAGTAACTACGTTCACAGAAATCGTGGTGGGAGAATTGTAGAAATTTCAGGCTTCGACAAAGTTCGTCTGCCAATTTATCAAACAACTTCGCATAATGGATTCTATGAGTGAGTGTAGATCATTCATCGGCTTTACAGCATATTTATCATTCTTCATTATTTTATTTACTTGTCTTACGCAGCAATGTGGCCACTGATTGGCGTGGGAGAGCGACAATCATCGCCGGAACAGCTGGACAGAATTATGTGGACAACATCTTCTACAATCCCGACAATGACTATGAAATGATCACAGTCAATCGATCAATGTAAGTCAATCGGCAGAAATAGATATCATTCAATTTATCTAGACCTTAATATTTGCTGCGCATGGTGTGAAGTATTTATTTGATGTAAAAACTGATAAGCATGGTATTTTTCTCTCTTTCTTTGCATTATGACGACCTCCAAAAACAAAACCCTAATCTTACCAATTGGATTATTTGCATGTAATGTTAAAAACTATCATCGTAGATTCGAGTTTCAGTTTTGGAACAGGTAATTTTTGATATTTCCCTCAATTTTGAGAGCTATTATTCTAATATTTATTTTAATTCCACAAAAAAAGCACTTTGGATGTGTGGAAAACAAAGATCGATGCGCGACACAATTACTGGCATTACAACACAACAATTGCTGTTAGTGGACGAATAAGAGATCGAGCAGGTGAGATATTGAATTTATGGAGCAAAATGTGTCGATTCGATGAATAATAATAACTTACATATTTTTTCCAGACGACCCACTCCTGCTTGAAGTGCAATTTCTGCCATTCTACATGAACAACGAGACAATTCTGGATGGAAAATGTCCTCCAGGATGGACACTGATTGTGGACACTTGTTACATCTTCGTGGGCGCCCCCATGACTTTCTACGAAGCCAGAGATTTCTGCAGATCCGACAACGCCTCGATGCCCTTTATCCGCGGCGACACTTATCCTCTCTGGCACTTCTTGTCAAGACAAATGATGCACTTTAGGTATGCAATCCAATTTAGGCACTTATTTAATACATCAATCTAATTGCTATATCACTTTATGACTTATGCAGCAGAGGCGTCGAGAGAGTCTGGGTGCAAGATCTCAATTTCATCGACCAATGCACAACATTCTTCTTCCGCAACATTGAATTGGACTCATGTGATAATCGAAGAACTTTTGTCTGCGAAATTGATCCCAAAGTAAGAGTGTAAATGGCATAACACAATGCTGATCAGATGCGGATAAAAGTCTTTTTCCCTAGGTGATGATTGATCCATTGTCTTGGCGCGCTGACATCCTCACAGTGGCTTTGATCGCTTGCCTCTGTGTCCTTGTTATATTGCTGGTGCTCATGCTGGTGTGCTGGTACTCCAAGTCTCGTGTGCGCCACGTGCAACGTCTCCAGCGACGCAACAGCATTCGCCAGAGTCTGCGAAGTCTCAACAGTATCGACCCTCAGGGCTCTATGAGGCGTCGCAACATGAACATGTCGCGATCCAATGATATTCTAAGCAGCACCACGGGCACAGACTACAAGAAGATGCCCTCCAACGGGTCCATTGACTCCATCGAGAAAAGCGCCCTGAGCTCAGAGACGAGCTATGATATGTACGACACACAGAACAACGGAGCACAGAGCGAGTATTCCAATAGGAAAGGACCCAATAATTATGGCAACGATTACCTGACCAACAAATACGGCGAATACGCAAACCAGAAAGCACAACGTAACGAAACAGCCAAGACACCCAAAGTTTATGGTCTGCCACAATACGAGCCACAGGTGGGATTTCTAATTTGAAATTGAATTCACTGATAGCCAAGGGGGAGATATTGTAGATAAAAACTGAAATTGAGAAACAAATATTCACAATTTGTTCAAAACTTGAAACTTTATACACTTTCTTAACAGGGCTTCGAGTTGTCATACAGAAATGAGGGCTTCCGCGACAATTCCACATTCTCCGGCACACGACAGAACTCCGTCAGCACCACCATAAATGAGGATACACCCATCATCCAGCAGGTGGATCCCGACGAGACAGGCTCTGACTACTATGGCAACTCCAGCACTCTGCCTTTGCGTCATCGCGACGACAACCTGAGCTTCCTCAGTGAGCTGAAGACGCGCCTTCCCGATTACGAGCCTCTGCCTCGACAGAGTCCCAGCCATTCGAGTTTCCTGCCTTCACCACCATCGCCGCCCAAGCCGAGTCAGAAGGCTTTCACGCCCGCCTCATCGGATGGCTATCACCAGCCTCAAATCCGTCGGCCGGAAAACTTCCCGGCGCCACCGCCGGAAGTTAAGCGCCCGGAATCTTACTACACAGCCATGAAAACGGCTCGGGACTCGCAAATGCCCGTCCAAAGTGCCTTCACGAGTCGTCCTAGAACGGTCTACGAACCGTCCGGAGATGAGAGAGTACCATCACAGACGTATTCTCGATCAAAGTCGGAAGCCCTCCTTGAGACAAATTTCGACGAGACATCCCCAAATTCAACTCTCAAGCCCGACAATCGGAGCTACAGCCAACCACTTGAGACTGCAATGTAGCTTTTAGGCATTCCTCTTAATCCGCCCCGGCGTTGAGCCCAAAAGCGCCTTCAACAGCAACGTGTATCTTTATTATTGTAAAGAGAAGTTTATATAGGTAGATTCTAATCGAAAAATCTGTATTAATAAGGGTAAATTGACGAAAATTCCAATAAGAGACACATTTTCCCATTTCTTTTCTAATGAGAGTATTTTATAGTGTTAGCAATTTTTGAATTAAATAGATTGAAGATTTAATAGCTCGACATTTTTTGTACATATTGAACAAATTAGGTGTTGAGAGCGCGATTATTTGTGATGCGATAAAATACGAGAAGATATAGTTAGTAGCGATGAAAAGAAGACACAAAGAATTTTATACATATAAGATCATGAAATAAAACTGTTTCAATAAGAGAAAAAAAGAGGATCGTGTTGTTTTTAACACCGACAAGCCCTCAAAGTATTTTCATCAGATCTTGTTATCAATATTGTAACTTCACTTTCAATTTGATTGGCAACAGAAAACTTTCAGTATCGTCCGTAGATTACATTTATCAGTGATATGGAAATAGAATAAGTCATCCAAGACTACATATATGCCTCTTTTATGATTATGTTTTTCCCCACAAAAACCATCTCTGAAAATAATACGACTGTTTACTTTGAGATTAGACCGTGTATGTACCTTCCTTATTTTCCTATAAACTGATTATCACGCGTGTTTTCGTTAAAATTTTCAACTTTATCAACAATTTTCCATGATTTACCATTTCATAATTACACACTGGTGGACAATGACTGATAACGAATAACATTGAGAGTGTGCTTTCCATTGTGTTCACTTGAAGTGAAATTCATTCTTAATTTCCACTGATTCCTCCCCAAAGCCTAGGATTTAAACCTAGACGAATGGTTTTTTTCCAAACATCGCGGTTTACCAGACAGTAAAAAAAGAAAAGAAACAGAAAGTCAAGAGTTTTTCCAGAAAAAAAGACAGCAAATAACAGAAATTACAATTTTTCAAGCATGAATTCAGACAATTCCTATTACATCACGTCTTGTCATTTCCGCACCGAAGGCGAAGACACAGAATTGACCATGGAAGATGCCAAGTTCATGGCACTGCTAAAAATCGTAGGCGGAATCGCTTCGCCAAAGGCCCAAGCGTTCGCACGCGCCACGATCTCCTAAGGGGGCACACACTCGTGGCAAAGAGTGTGCGATTAGTGCGGACCTGATAAAGCCTCCTGATAACCGGCAGTGTGTGTTCTTTTGTCATCAATGGATTCCACGGTCGAGTCGATTCAGTCACTCAGGGGGGAAGACATGTCCGCACACTGGCTCAAGAACAGGTTCATTCGATGGAATTTTTCCGCTTTCCCCACTATCATATGTTATTTTTAGGCATTTTCCAACTATAGACACCGTATTTTTGAGAAAAAGTTCTCCCTTTCACCGCCCAAAGACACTCTCCAGCGTGGCGACCCACCCCAGATTTAAGTTGGTGGACAGGCCCCCATTTGCCTCACATCGACTCTCCCTAAACGTACGCAAAATCGTCATGTTGTGAGTAAAATATTGCGTCCCACGACTCCCCGCCGATCCCTATATACACTCCGCACACACGCGCACCTCTACATCCGACACACGCTCAACTTCACTCTTCAAATGTGTTGAGTGGACCCGGATAAGGGGCTCGTCCATCTCAAAAGAAGATACAGGAAGTATCGAGCACAGCTTGAATCTAAATCAGGACTGAGACTGAGATATCAATTAATAATACCAAAACCAAGATATTGTAACTGAAAATAAATTCTACAAATAATTAATGTCCCTCAGGATTAAACATACAATTTAATTACACTTCGGTACTAGAATTTAAGTCAAATTACTATTACATCATTTTGATTAAATCACGCTAGACATGATTGAAAACAATCTGGGCTATATAGCTCTATAGAACAGCATGATCTTGTCTGAATCTGGATTTTGTAATTAAGATTTCAACTAGTTCATTACACTTGCTTTTCATTTCAATACCATGGCCTGAATTTGCACTCATCTCTGAGTGTAATCTATGTTTAAAATCTGCTGTACATTTGAGATTAATTTTAGATTAAAATAACCATCTAAATAAGTGATTTGACATAGCTTCACATAGTACACAAACCAGGAATATTATTACCCTCTTCTTGGTTAAGTATATTGTCTCTTCTTTTCCTCACCTTTCGCACATCTAACTACAAATCTTCCATGGCTGTATTAGTGTGAAAATTCAAGAGAGCGACAGAGAGACTTAGTGTAAAACCGAAGTAAAAGATTGTGAATCAACTTGACGTTTCTCTCTTTTTCCCTTACAGAAATCGCATCGCTATATTTTTACTATTCTAGCATGAATTGATATTTGAGTGTGGCTCGATGGGAGTGTGATCAAACTATGGGAGAGCATTAGGAGAGTAGAAAAAAACAAACAGTTCTAAACTCAGCCAAGAGAGAAACACAGAGAGGCGATTGATGGTGTGCGCAAACGCGAGAGAGCAATTGAAATCATACCCACAGTGGCAGAAATGACAAGATATACATGTATAGAAGCCAAATCGGCTACTTGAGTAAAATTGAGAGTTTCAAAGCAATAAGGCAGAAAGGCCCGATAGTATCACAGTCATTCATGTTACTACGAGACGAGTTTTTTCCGTGTCTTCCGCATCTCTTGTGTTTGAAAATCGTCCCCCGTCTGTGCGATGGAATTCTGGGACTTGTGAGCACTAATCATCATCAAATATTTACTTTTCCGGAAAACAAGTTCAGTGTGAAGACTTCGCGCGGGTGAGGAAGAGAAAAATACCGAGGGGCTTCATTTGGAAAATTTCCGACATTGATTTTGGGACTTTGAGTGAGACATTTTCGGTGGATAAGTTTGATATTCTAGAGCTATTTACTGAAAGTGAATTTTTACTCCAAAAAGAGATGGAGGCATCGAGAGAATCAGGTATGTGTAGTAGTTCGTAGTAGTAGAGCGAGACAGAGAGCTAGTAAGTGTGGAAGAAGAATAGAGGCAGACGCGCATTCAGGAGATAGGAAGCCCTACATAGCGAACAAACTTGCGTTAAACTATATATGGCAACCGCAGTTATATCCTTGGAAACTTTCAAATGCAACTTTGCAGAGACATGACCAACTTTCCGCCAATCCTGCATGAAAAATGGCATTGGGTTAAGGTCAAATGTGGTGCCATCCTCCTATATAGCAAGTGCCTTACTGTTGTAAGTTTGCAAGGATCCATCAGAAACTTTCTCGGGGTCTACAAAGAGGAGAAAAAATTTATTAGAAGAATTTATGCCTGGAGAAGTAAATTTCGGAAAATTACATCCTCATCCTTGCTCGACTGAAGGATGTAACCTGCGCAAATGTAAATTAAAGTCTCTTCGCCCAGAGCAGAGCAGAATGCAGTTCTGAAACTCTTTCATTCGCTCGCTCTTTCACGCTTGGGCCTCTTCTTTCGTCACTATGTGGATACTCATACAATTCAATTGCATCATATCACTATAAAGTGCCACACAACACACACATTGGGAAGGTTGGGAAAAAGCACGACCATCCAACACATGATGACCGAAGCATAGGGAATAGCAGTGGATTCTGTAGCGCGGATTGCCAGTGAGTCGAGTGCAGTTGCGGAGAGCAAGCAGGAAAGTCGAGGAGAGTTTGTGTGCATGAAGAGAAGAACAGTTTGACAAGAGAATTTTGTGCAGTTTTTTCCTCATTATTTCCTCCTTCTGTTCGTGTCCTCCGAAAACACCTCAAGAATCGATTTCTCGGATTGTCTCTGTGCCTGTGAAGCACAACTCAGGGCAGACAATGGGGAGATTGTGAGTGAAAATCGCCTGAGATCTCATACTCAAGTGGACAAAAGTGTGTGATTGACAAAGAGAACAGTATCGCCGCTCTTTTCTCACAGTGTACTCGCATCATTTAAAGGGCATCCGCTTGCCCACAAAACACAGAAAATCTTCTCAGATTGAGGTGAAAAGACATCCCTATAGGATAATATACATCACCATCAGACATTCACTGCGAAGCAAAGTGCAACTTTTCAGAGTGCACTGAACCACTCTAGAATTGAGAATAGTTTACTGGGGGAAAAACGAAGAAATGAGAGCATCGAGAGAGACTTTAAACTCACAGCTATTTTCACGACTTTTCTCATCGACATTTTCCTCATTGAAGAACAACTCTCTTTCCCTGGTCAATTGAAGGGCGACAACCCAGTTTGAGGAGCTGAGAAAAAGTGCACATTGCATATTCTCCAACACTCGCAAGCCTCATTTTTCCAGCACAGCCATAAGAATGCGGGATGAGAGACAATCTTCAGAATATATTGTTGAATGATAGCCTGAGAAGTATGATGTGAAAATTTGTAAAGGCATTCAAACGGTGAGACAGAGAGCAAAAGAGAACCAGAAGCTGTGATCTGTGTGGGTGCAATATAGTGAGAAAGAGAGAGAATTGACAGGAAATTAAGAGAAAAGCGAGCCCAGGAAGGGATACGAGAACTCAGTGCGAAGCAGAAAAATCTATTTGGAAAAATGCTGAAATATTTAACACACAAGCTTCGAACGCAATCAATAAATGAGGATAACATCAATGAAAAGGTAGGCATGATGACTATTCCAGTCTCTGGAAATTCATGTGAAAATTCCACCCTCGCGACACTCAGTTGGAGGAGCATGAAATTTTCGCATTTTCACGCACACACTCGGAGGAAACGGTGCTGAATTTACGAGCAGGGGAGGTTGAGACCATTTTTGAAGGTCACACCATCAATTGATTCTGCCTTCCATGGACGAGAAAAGTGCGAGAGTGTGCGGGAAAATACCAGGCAGTGTCTGTGTGTGTCACATTTGGACAGTATTTATTATTTGTTACAAAAAGAGGCAGAAAAGTCACTAGTCAAGTGAATGGAACGCAGACTTGCCTTAATTGAACTCACGAGAGGCCCCAGAATCACTGCAATCGCAAGAACTGTAGGCCAAAGTCGAGAAAACATTAACAGAAAATTAAACTTGTTCCCCACTGTGGGTGGGTCTAATCTCCGAATCACTCCTTAAACATCTCTATACACATAAGTATATGTTGTGTTTTCGTTGATAAAAAAAGACACTCGAAGAATTTTGTAGTAACTTCTCGTACGCTATTAAGTCTCTACCTCTGTGTTCAACAACACATGCAAACTTCTTTCTTTTTTCCCTCTTCGAGTGACTTTTTTCCACCTCATGTACGCTTCTTCAGCGTCAAGTTCATTGTTGTATATTTCGTTATTGGTACCGAACGAACACTTCGAGTGTGATGGTGTTTCGCCTACAAATTAACAGTGATGTTTCATAATATTGAGTAACAAAGAAAGAGATTTCCAATTGCTGGAGAAGCCGAGCGAAGAGCTCAAATATCACTCTTTCTTACCATTTACCATTAAAATTCCAATTAAGACTTCAGCAGCTAAATTGTTTATTTCTACGGAGTGATTATCTCCTCAATTGTTTCACTCGTGATATTCCATTGATAGTTTCTCACCACCAGAAAGACTTCTTCAATGTTTCTGACATCATCAGAAATAGAGAAGTAAAATAAAATTAAAAAAAAAACTCCCTGGGAAATCAGGAATATAAAAGGTCTCTCGTGCGTGCTTTTGTCGAGACTTTAGTATAAATTTTGAGAACAGAAGATTTATTTCAGCGTGGATTTATAAAGAATTCAATCAGCTGTACAATGGTATATTTCCCTTTTAAATATTAATCAGATTGTGTTAAGATAGACGGTGTTTATTTAAAATCCGAAGACATTTCAAATCTTCGTCATCATGAATAAATTAGTATCTATTTTAAAGATAAACTCAAAGTATTGTTTATGCATTAGGCACTTTGAAAACTTTTCAATTACTTCTTTAGACCGTGGCATCACTTACATATGGTCAGTAATTCTTCATACTATTTATTTGCATTCACAAATTGGCTTCCATTTGAAATCCCTTATTTTATTACTTATTTAAGAAGTATATATTTATTCTTCACGATTTATACATGTGTCAAAAAAAACATTTCAAAAGTAAAAAAAAATATCATCAAGAGATATGAAAAGCTGTGATTTAACAAATCTCGACTCGATTTTTATACTTCAATACAGTATAAACAGAGCGAATGAGCTTTCGATAAAAGGTTTTGCTGAAATCCAACAAAACATATATCGTGTTTCCTTGCCTAAGTTTGAAAGGATATTTTTCTCGGACGCGTGTCAGTTATATTTGTTCACATTGATTGATTCGACGTAAAGAACAAATTTGACCAATTATTTGCTGACCCAAAAAGGCGAGTAGATTGAAAAATGCTCTCAAATTGAAAGATTAGAATTTGTACAATTCCCCCTCGTGTTGACCTCCATTTGGCCGTAATGTCTGGCTAGATTAATGTGTGTCTTGTAACTTTTGTTGTGTCTCTAGTGCACATAGAGCACTTTGTGTGTAGTCTTTAGGACGCAGATTTATGTACCCAGAAAGAAACTGATAGTTTCCAGCCATCAGAGAATGCCCTCGTCGGCCGTTTTGTGTGAGTTCTCTCGTGAAGAAAGAGACTTTCTTGGGTAAATAAGGCGCACCAACATCGATGATGCAGTGCCTTCCTCTTCGCTTGTAACCACACCACTCTGCTATGTATGTCATGCCAACACAGAGAGACGCAGCGTAGCACGAATGTGTACGAAATGGAGTAAAACACGTCTAAACTTGCATAATCTTGTTTTCAATTTGTGCTATTCCGCCGATTGAACGGAGCAGAAGCGGACTCTCAGAATCTCCCCCTTGGCAGTTGGTCTCTCATGAGGTTATTGGAATACTCATATTCTCGTCCGTGTCACACGATAAAGAGTACTTGTGTCCGAGATAAGGTGCTTTCCGCTCATTTTATAACCCTCGTCCAACTAATGAAACATTATTATATCGGTTACACATTTCACACAAGTTGCACATTCAAGAACATAATCTGAGAGTCTCAGTCTTTGTTTCGCCATTCGGATCCATTGAGACGTCGGCATAAGACGCCGATTGGAGTTCAACACAGTGGTTTATTTCCTAAGAAAAAGAAATATTCATATGCATTACACATTTGTTGTATATGATTGTGAGTTTTCTCTCCTAGAAGTGAGCTTTCATTTCATTCTGCTTTCTAAAGTGCATTGAATGCCCGTGAGACGGAAAATCCGTCATGTTCATTGATATTTGTGGCAACAGTGAAATTATGCTGTTTCAAGAGTCACAAATTCTTATGGGTAATATGTTTGTGCCGATAATAGAGGTAATTAGCTAGTAAACAACATTCACCCTCTGGCAATTGTGGGTAGCTAAACTTGCAAACCTAAAATGCCCTCAAAATAGACTAACGTTGAGTAATGAATTTCTATATAGTTTGGTACTTTTTCAAACTATGCAACATTCAATGCTATGAATCATAAATTCTTCTCTCGTGATCATTTTCTGCTCAGTCTTTTTCTACATCGTGTAAGATGCTATTTTTTTCCTTTTCAACTCCATTTCGTGTGTACATATTTTTAAAAGACACACTTGTGCGATAGAGTAAACACAGAGTGTTCTTGCTGTGCCCAATGGGATTAACTTGGAGTTTGCAGTCATAGAACAATAATTCATTAAAAAAAAGCCCACCTCGGGGAACACTTGCAAGATTGTGTGGTGCAGAGTGGCATGAACGAGCGAAAGAGAGAGAGGGGCAAGGAAAAGGAACATGAGATGAGATTGTTGCTCAAGTGGTTTCTTGTAGGTCCGATTGAGGACGGAAAAATGCGTCGATATACCGGTTTCTTTGGGGTATCAACACACTATATGACTGGGTACTGATTCCCCAACACGACCAGAGCCAAACGAAAAATGCCACAGTCTTGTGTGCACGAGCGAAACAAGGAGGAGAACAAGAGAGGCCACAGTTGTTAAACAACAATCGCGTTTTTTAAGAACTGCCATTTCACATCACCTTTCTGTGATCGATCGGACAACCCAATATAGCAAAATCGAATGACAATGTGTAGAAAATAAAGAATCATGCTAATTATGTTATAAATATTCCAAAAATTAATTATAACACATAAAACAAATTCGAACGCACTGTGCACAGTATCCAAAAAATTATCTAAAAAATATGGCATGAATTTTTGAGTTTCGAAAATTCCATTTCTACACGAAACTAAGCAGAATTGGTACTTAATCTACATTTTTAACACCACAAAGAACAATTTTAGCTATAGAATCTGCCTCTCGTAGGCAATAAGTTAATCTCAACTTCCTTCTATGGACACTTATCTTCTTGCCAACGCAATGCCTTGAGGGATAACGAGTAACTTGAGGAGTAATTCCCTTTTGTGTCCTTCTCATTGCAGATTGACGGACATGATTCTGGAACTGAATCTGACGATGGTGATTTAGATGCTGAAAATATTTATCACGAAGCAGATATGGAATACAGTGAGTACAATTTTTTCAAAATAGATCACAATTCCATCTATTTTCCCTCGGTATATAGACAGACCATTTGTTCAGTGTCTCATCATCATATTCCATTTTAAGCTCTACACTCTTTGTCTTGGCCTCTTTATATACCAATTGTATGTATCGTGAAGTGTAAGCGAGAATGGAAGAAAATTTTACGTAGTAACTAAAGTAAATATTCCGACTTCTTCCCCTTCATTCAGCATTCTTTCCACTCTCACAGTGAGCAACTTCCATCGGAATTGCATGAAAAATGAAGTTTGCACCTTCTTCAAGGATTCGCACAGAAAAGCGTGAACGGATCTATCCACTCAAAGAGGAAGTAAATAACATAGTACAATCTCTGTAAAGGATGTAAAATTTTTGTATATCCCTAAAGAAAAATCGACAATAGTGAGAATTATCCTTCAGCAGAATGCGCAAGTCTCTGCAAATATCTCTCCCACTACGCATTTCATGGGGACAATCTTAGTGTTTTGGATGTGTTTTGGGGAGAAAGAATATGGAATGTCGGGCCCATTTTTCCAATCCATTTACCCTCAATGGCCAAACAGAAGGACATTCCATCCCCGCTCTTATCAAAAACACCCTCTTTTGCTATCGTAGAGAAACCATCCTCTCACGCCCATTTTTGCATCATGCCGCATATCAGGTATCCTTTAAGCTTCGCCATCGCTCGGATCCTTTGTGGACTTGAGGCAATGCCTGCAATTCAATTAATTTCCACCTTGCAATTGAAAGCTCGCCTCTTTGCCGTGTCGAGGCCACCATCATTTGCCTCGTTGTTTGCTCGTCACACTAACAACACTACAAAGCTCAATAGCCGCATGCGCTCTACAACATTTCATTCATGGGAACCCACATTTTCACGCATTTCAAGCGCTCCTACACACACATACACACTCACACAGTTGCAGGAAAAGGGCAGCAATTGGGAGTTTTCCGTGCAGTACTAACTTTTGCCCTCTGTAACACTCTCGAGCGCCCCATTTCGTGTTTCTCCTTATCCTTGATACTGCCAGGAATTCCGCTCGAGCGAGACAACGCGATGCATCTGTGAACTTTACGTGAGACAGACTGCAAAATGCACTCGTGCCAAAAATCAAAAAGGGACACTCATGCCAACGGAATGGAGTACAAATCATTCACTTAAATTACCAAATGACTCTGAACAACAACTCAATTGGCGATAAAACACCCATTTTTATTGCGTGTGTGGAAAATTGCAGAGAAACATTGTATGTAGAAATATTGTATAAATAATTGCTAAACAACTCATTCGATGATCAAATGAGATTCTTAACTTGATGTCATGGACATGATGAGATTTTTCACAGAGAGAAAATGAATTTATTCTCCAATTTGTGTGCCTAAACCTCTCAGTTTCGATACTGAATTACTGTCGTCACACATCCATAAAATACTACATCGCATACCAACACTTATGCTATCGATTTCATTCTTTCTCCCCCGTCCTAAGTGTGTGTATGTGTAGTACTACGAGATATTATGTATTATAAGATATATGAAAGAACTTAAATGAGACTACAGTTAAGTCGTGCTACACGCGCTTTTCTTGAAACACAGCCAAAAAACTCATATGAGGAATTTTCCACACACAGTCTTTCAGACTACAACTTTCTAATTGGAATATAAATTTCCCCCTTCTCTCTTCTTTATTCAGTGCCCTTTTACAAAATAAGTAATTGCTTCTTAGAATAAGTTTCAGCAATTTTTTCTCATAATTAATAAGTGATAAGAATTAAACGGTCTAAACGAAAAATCATAAAAATCCACTATTTCCGTTCTTCTTGGGATGGTTCTAAATCTTCACTGGAAATCCTGTACACATTGTACTTAAAATGCTTTAAAGCGCAAGTAAGTAAATAATCTGCGTGTCCAAAAAAAATGTTACAACACCCTAATTGCATATCTTAGCTATTTCACGTTATCACAATTCACAATCAAGGTGGAGTGACTGGAATTGTATGAGAAGCGCAAACATTTTGCACGAGCTAAATAGTCAATTCAAATGTTTCATTTAATGTATTTTCAATTTTACCATCATGTCTAATTGGCTTTAATACTGACGTATCTACATATTGTTGTCTTTTCTCGCGCGCCCCCTTCAATGTCACTCCGTGGACAATCGGTCAGAATGAGCTTGTGGAAAATTATGCAATTAATCAGAACAAGTCACACACATACTCGCGTTCCTCGCCACTTAATCTGTTAGGAGTGTGTAAAAAAGTACCCACGCGCGCGTGTAGAATATTATTGAGCAGTTATTTTTTATTTACTTATTTTCCCCATGATTTTCCACACCCGCTTCCCCACTGTCCAATAATTGCCACACACAGGGCTCATCCAAGTGGTCTTGCATACGATACATGATAGTTGTGTGATTGCTGTATGGAGAGAAGTTGTTTAAAGAGTCGAGAGAGTGAAATATTGAACATTATTATTATTGGCCAAACTACACAACATCGCAGCACATGATGAGGAATGTATTTTGCTTATAGTAGAGAAGCGCGCTCAAACACACTTATGAAACTCAGGCAATTTACTTTCAAGCAAAATGGTGAAGGTTAATAGTTCGATGCCCTGACATTGTCTCATTTATTGCTCCAACGAGTGAGGATCGTAGAAAAACGTATTTATTGTAATGCACGAATGGGTGAACAAGTTGGTGAGTGATGTAATTATTCTTTGTCAATATTTTTCACTTCATGTCATTTTTATTTAATTATTATTCAAATCGTCGCAATTGTTCATACTCTTCCATTTCTGGTTCTTCACACACAATCTCCACACTCCATTTGCGATATGAGGGAGGGTTATTAAGTGGTCTACGAGAAAACATGTGGAATTTTCCACTTGCCCAAATAAACTCTTTATAAAACCCCATATAAAACAGAATTAGGCTAGATGAAGGAACTGAAACAAACAGACTGACAATGTCCTAATTGAGGATTGTAATATGTTTAGAGTCATGTGCGAAATCAAGGTAATATCTTCGCCTCTCCTCAATCTCTTCAGCGCGCTCAGTATCAATTTACTTAAGGCTGAATGGGCTTCTTTGAAAATTCACATGACAATGACTATTTTCCCACTTCATCGCGTGCGTGGACAAAGAAAGGAATTCGAGATGCGTGGTGTAAAAAAGAAATTGAAGAGAAAGAGGAAATTCCGAGAGACACCGTGAAGGTTACTATTGAGTAGTTAATTCTTTTTCCACCAATCTTAACTCTGATACGCAGATTCTTGAGGAAAAAAAAATACATATCTCAACGGCGATTTTTTGGGTTTTTCTCAACGCTTCCACTGCTAATCATTTCGAGTATTTCGCGAGTCTGCAAAAAACTATATCGAACGCCTAATCAAACGTTCACACACATCGTTTTATATTGATTTACATTTCTACACTCGTACATTTTGGCCTAAAAACCACGAGCAATGAGAATTTGATAAAGAGTGTGAGGCAATTGTTGGTGGTAAATGAGCTTGTTTTGCATACTCGATGTGAAAATGGCAATAGAAAACTACACTCGTCAGTTACATAATAGTTAAATATCATTATATGATGGCGGGAGTCAATTAAATTGAGGAGTAACAGAAGCAAAACAAGTGATTTTCTCTCCTCGTCTTCGCCTATTGATAACTCTATGGTCAGCCCGGCCGAAAGAAAAATCAGACGATTTCGATGGGGCGACAAAAACAACCATTTGCCATACAAATGATATTCGCACACGATTCTATATCGTGTGCCTTCTGAGTCACTATACTTATAACCATCCACACAAGAAGCCCAATATATGATTGCCGAGGCAGCGCCATTCAATGTGGTTGTGACATAAAAAGTCGATGCGAAAAACAAGACTCAATAGATATAACCGACAAATGCTACAAGTTGTAAATTTACAATGAATATAAAATAAAAGCGTGTACGAGCAAATTTTTAGAAGACAGAGAGAGAAAGAGCAAAGACAGAAGAATGAAGTTTGTATATTTGTCAAAGTGCCAACTGTAAAATTATCAAACACACGTAAAATTAACTTTGTTTTCAACTTCTATCTTCCTCCCACCGCCCATTTCGGCTCCCCGCAACATCTTTTCTTGTGATGCATGAGTAAAATTGGATGATGGGCTACGTGCTATTTATTTGGCGTGACGTCTTTTTCGGGCTTATCTGCGAAAAACCACGTTTCACACAGCAATGCTCTGTCCTCTGTGACACTGATAAAAAAAGCGCACAATAGAAGACCAACAGACTGATTGACTCAATCAACATTACAATGTTCTCCCCTTGTTTTCAAGCACAACCGTTCAATCTAAATCAGCGGAAAAATATGATAAAGCCGTACAGTGTAATTGTCTTTAGCGCTGCTAAAGCATGCAAGATGATGCCACTGATGGACTCACAACCAGACAAAAATACACTGAAGTTCCAAAGCTTTTAATCTCGTGGAGAAATTTTATTTAAGACTTTTGAGTAAACACGCAAAAATAGCAAATGCAATGTGATATATAAAAATGTAGATAAGCATGCGAACAATTTAGTTTAAGCGGAACTTGGAAATTTGAACTTAACTCGACATATTCCATCTTTAGAATTGCATAATGATTCCTATGAAAAGAACGTCGTGGAAGCACCAAATGTAGATTCTCGGTACTCAGTTTTTCAATTCCAAAAAGACTCTCAGACAAAAGCTGTACAATGCGAAACCCCGCCTTCTAATATTGTTTTTCCTATCACAAAACATACGTGGCATTTTCGTGAAATCATTTGTAAATAAAACTTTATTTATATACACAAAGAACATTTTAATCCCTATCTCCTTCTATACATTTGACATTTTTTATACACATTTCCAAGAAATTTGCCTGATTCATTGGATGCCTCGTGAGTTTTTCACTCAGACAAAGTGATGTTATAACATTGCTTTGAAATGGAAAAGGTGTTTTTTACCGTATGGGAAACTCAACAAGCAAAGCAGGGGCTTTATTGGGAAGCCCCTTGAACATATTCCCCTGGAGGATTCATGTCTGTAGACAATTAGAACAGAAAAGTGAAGTGAAAAAGGACCCCAAATTGGATCTATGTAAATTTTTAATTGAACACATTTCCACTCCAGGTCATGTATGATGCTGAGGCGGGGGGAAAGAAGTTGAGCATACAGAGAAAAGTTGCTGAATGATAGATTTGATGCCATTCAATACACGAGAGAATCGTTTACTTGCCTCTCACTTGGCAATTCTTCACCTTTAGCCGCTCTCCATCCAGAATGAAAATAGTTCGTGGAAAAGGGAGCGAATTCTTAATACAAATGTCTCAATTTATATGAATACCAAGAGAAGTTTATCTTTCTTATTCCATTCTCCGAAAATCACTTGAAGAAGCTCAGTCTCTTTTCCTCAGAAATCAATTTGCAATTTCCGCAGAGGAAAATACGCGATTCTTCCAGTTTTCTCCTCTCGTCAGGATATTGAGAAAACAAATTCTGTATAAACACACATAAATTGTTGAACTTTCTCCCTAGAGAAGACGATGAAGTGTTTGCAATGTTACCAAGTCAATTGCATCAGCATGTGGAGGGCAATTATCACACTATATGGGTGGGTTATTCGCGCTTGCTAGACAGAAAAACGACAAACAGATTAAATTTAGCAGTCGAAAAAAGTGAGAAAACTCTGTTATCTCTCAAGGAGAAATACTAACCCAATCCTCGAATCGCCACACGCGATTCTTACCCCCCGTCCACTGAAATTATTACTCAACAGCCGCAAAAGTCCGCTGCGAGTGACACACAAGCTGATAAGGGATTCACAATTGTCGCAAATATCACTCGTAATCACAAAATTTTTGTATTTTTCTTCCAAATCTGTCTTCTTTGTCTCAATCTTTCCTTATCTACATAGGTTCAGATTTCGCTATAGACACACACTTTTGGGGAGGTTTCACTCGAGAAATCTGTTGATGTTTAGCCGGTGAAACTTTCCACTCAGCCAGTCGCTCTTAATCATATCGGCTGCCTTCTCGCCAATCATGATAGCAGCTGCGTTCGTGTGTCCGGACGCTGGACCCGGAACCACACTTATGTCCGCCACTCTTAGCCTCTTAATGCCGTGTACGCGAAGCTCGGGATCCACGACTGCGTCAGGATCGCCAACAGGTCCCATTCGACAAGTTCCCATTGCATGAAACAGTGGCAAAGCAATTGATCTTATGGCGCAGTCCCAGTATGAGTAGGATCCAAACTTGAAGATCTCACAACCCGGCACAGGAGTCTCATCGATTTTAGCCCCTAACGCCTGCATTGCAGGACTTGCAACAATCCTCAGAGCCTCGTGTAGACCATGAATAAGAACATCCACATCCTCTTGATACTGAAAATAGCCGGGAAAGATCCTAGGCCAGTAGAAGGGATTGTCGTTCCACAGCTTCACATAGCCTGTCGATCGGGCGCGTAGTTGGAGAATGGCTATCGCAACTGCATCCACCCTTGGATCCTCCAAATGTTTAAACAGAGCATTGTAGGTCCTTATATCAATATTAGCTCCTCTTGCAAGACCCGCACCCTCATCAGATCCCATAGTTCCGGACATGAACAACAGTTCTGCATCCGGATAATCCGGTGGATCCTCACTAATTGGAGACTTTGTGAAAGTCACAGCTTCCACTCCTGCAATAACCGTGAGCGGACCTTCTCCTCTGGAGTAGTCCATAAAGTCCTGAGATCTGAGATTCTGAAGATTTCCCGATTGACGTGTGGTGTTGAGAATAATCGAGGGGCCAACAAAGAACATATGATCATACATTGACTTGCCCACAGGCAAATTCTGTATCACTGTAACGTTAATATCTCTTAGATGTGACGCAGGTCCAATTCCAGAAAGCATTAGCAATTGCGGTGAGTTGAAAGTACTGGCCGAAACTATGACCTCTCGAGTGGCAAACACTCTATGGAATTTGTTGTTTCTCAAGAATATGCACCCATACGCAATCCGTTTATCGGGATCTATGAGGAGTTTGGTCACTCTTGCTCCTGCTACAATGTGTAAGTTCCGACGCTTTTTTGCAATTGGTTGCAGAAATGCAGAAGCCGTGCTGTGTCTCTGACCATTTCTCGTTGTCGTTTGAATTCTCGACGTCCCCATCTGACTTTCTCCGTTGTAATCCAACTCCTCATATCCACACTCAACCGCTCCTCTCTGATATGCGCTTAATATCGTCGACTGGTGGGGATTATACTGCACACTCATCTCTCCTCGATGTCCGTGATAATCATAATCCTCTTCTCCATCAAGAGATACCAACTCTGACTTCTTAAAGTAAGGCAGTATATCATTGTAGCTCCAATTGTAGTTTCCTAGTGCTTCCCAAAAGTCATAATCTCGCCGGTTTCCTCGAACGTACATCATTGCATTGATCACACTCGATCCTCCTAAAGCTTTTCCACGTGGAAACGAGCATCTGCGGTCTGTCATGCCCAGACAAGCCAACTCTTGAGGCTCTCCCAAATATCCCCAATTAGTGGCCGTCGATATGAAAGTTGAGGAAATAAGAGGTACTTTGTGCAAGTATGTCTCAGCATAACCAGCCTCCAAAAGCAACACCTTCCAATTAGCGATCTCGGACAATCTGCTCGCCACCACGGCTCCTGCTGATCCCGCGCCGATCACTATAAAATCGTACTGCGTGCGAATTTCCGGGCTTCCTTGATGAAGAAAATGACAAAGAAAAATCAGTATTTGGACGTTTAATTTGCTTAAGTGATCAGAGTTGGAAAGACAGTGCACTAAATGTCCATTAATGCTCTTGACCCGAAATATGAAGCAGCAGTAATAATTATTTCCATTTTTTGATTAATTCAAGCGACAAGTTTACATCTTATAACCTTTGTTATTACTTGCTTTAATGATTTTTCTTGTTCTAATTTTTTCAAATCATATTAAACACTCAAATGACTTTTACAACTTACAATTAAATGCAACATTACAAGCATCCTCTAATTATACTGAACTCTGATTTTAACCTGAGATTATTTGTTTACAACTTTTCTTTATACTCGTTTCGTGCCATTAACATATTTTAGCCAATTATAAAAAAAAAAATATTTCACATAAAGATGTTTAGAGATATAAAACTTAAAAACAAAGAAAATTATAGGTAATTGAATTTTTTTTTGAGACTTGAATATATTTTCAAAAGATCTTAATATTCGTCCCACTTCCTTACAATCAAACAAAATCTTTTCATATAATTTTCGACAAATTTTGAAATAAATAAAAACTAAGTAGAGAAGTACTTAGACCCAATCATTTTAACTTTTTTTCTAGTTATAATGTCCTTGAAGCTCCTCAAACTATTTAGATTTGTATTTAAAGTGTCTATTATCTCTAAATTTCACTCAGTCTTTCAAACTCTTGTCATCCAACTGTGATCACACAATATAAAATAGTGATCCTGTTACCGTATATCTTCTCCGTATATTCCAAATTAGCACGAGCATCTACATATTCCTTGAGGGAGTCGAAAGTAGCGGCATTGTATCCAGAGAAAAGTGTTGCGAGAGCACAAAAAACACTGAATTTCCACATATTTCCCAATCACCGATCACCACTGTGTTCTTCACTTTTTAGCCATTCACTATAAACTAATTCGATTTTACCGACTATGCGGTACTTTTATAGCCATAAACGCAATCTTCACAAGTTGGGGATTGACATTGAAAAAAGCCCCATCGTAGAAAAAGAATTCCCCACACAGAAAATTCTCGCAAAAAGAAATCAAGAATTGGCATGCGAACATATTTTCACGATCGATACGGTCTGTAACCGCAGGAAATAACACATACGACCTTCCTGTGACACAATTTCTGAGCTTTTCCACATTTCAATGTATCGGCAGGCATGAGCTCCCGACACGACACAACATCTCCAACGGACACTGCGTGTTCCTCCGAGTCGCCGGCCTTCGTGAACGCGTCCCATCTGATGTACGATCAGCACAGCTCAGAGGAGGAACTGGAAGTGATCAACGGGCCCGCGGAAGCGGCCAATCCCACAATCTTCGACGATGACTCCCCGAAGAGGTCCAGCTCGACGCTGATTGAGAAAAGAAAGCGATCCTTGGCCCACAGTTCGGACGAGGAGGTGCGCTTGAAATCCACTGATTAACGTATGAACACAATTGACACTTTTCATTGCATTTATAGGTGAGGAATCTCCTGGAACATGTTCAGGCACCAGTCAATTTTCGCACATCGCCCCCTCTGGAGGCCCTGAAGCCCCAGCGTGGCCACCTACACTCACTGCACGTGCAGCAGCAACGCGCCACGACGCCGCTCGTCCTCACCGAGTCCGGGCGTGGCATCGAAAGTATTAGGATTTCATGTGATAGTCCCATCGTTCCGATGGACGTTGTCCGTTCGATTAGTCCGCCAGCAAAACTTTTTCACTGCGCCGTGTCGCCGCGACGTCGTCCGCCCCAGCGGCCGCAGCGACTGCAAAGGCTCCACAGACCCTGCTTGGACTTTGACAAAATGCAACAGGTGAGCCCCAAAGTTCAAGAACTCAATCAGGTGTTCCAAATTATTCACGAAAGCGATAGTCTTCGCCAAGCACTCCACAGAAAAAACCATTCAAGTGGCATTAGAAAGCTCTGTAGTATAATAGAGTAAATTGGAAGAGGAACTGCAAATCACACTGAATTAATCGTGCATTAGTCTGCACAATGTAGTTTGTATAAATTATAGTGGAAAAAATCGAGCGAAATTGCAACATATCGGAAGAAGAACAAGAAATACCTTTCGATCAATTCCAGCGATATGCCGTGTAATTACCGTTCTTGACTGGCAAAGAAAATGGGTTAAACTTTCAATAACTTCTAGATGAACATTCAATTTACTTTGTGAATTATGCTAACAAGGAGAGTTTCACGTATTTGGGATTCATTCTCGTGGTTTCTAAGTAATATTGGGCAACACATTTAAATATAGCAAAATGGTTTTATTTGTTGTTGGAAAATTTCAAAACTCTTCTTACAGTATCAGCAACATAAATGAATTTTCATGCACTTTATGACCATTTTTCCTTAATCACGTAATGCTTGTGAGTCAATTAGACATAATACAAAGTTTAAGTACAAAATTAAAAATCGATTTTCCGTGAATTTGCATAAATTTTCCATTTAGGAATAAAAAAAATTTCCATGAGAAACGCTATTTTGTAATTATTGAATTTTATATCCAAAAGGAAAGTTTGCATGTCAACAAAAGCTCTAAAGGTGCTTTCCGGAAGTGTCCTGAATAGCAATTAAAGAGTTGACACGGAGGGAAATGCTTGTGGAAGGTTCAAGTGCCGGCGTGCAATCGATTTAGCGAAGTTAAATGTTTATATTCTGCAAATTAATGGTGATTTTACGATTCTTCTGCAGCTGAAAGCAAGATCAGTGACCGCCTGGAGGCACGACACGGAGCACAGTGGTGAATTCCCTGTCTTCTGCTGGTGATGAAGTGTCTTTAAATCCTACAATGTGCCGGCAATGCTGACAAATTCTCCAGCCGGCTGAACAACGCACGTGGCACTCAAATCGCACACATAACCACACATTTATCAAACAATAGACAAAACACCACCAATTAAATGATTTTTTTTTGACTTGTTACTTCTTCTCAACTCCAAACTGAAATTGTGCAATTTTTCACACATAAGAAACGTAAAAAATAATAATAGAAACGCTCAGAAATGGATAAATCACAATTCAATAAAATCAATCTCTGCCTCAACTGGCAGAGATTATTCTTGTAATATTCTTATAGAAATGAAACATACATAGATCATAAGATATTCGGGAGAGCGGCTAGAGATCCATAGAGAGAGAAAATGAGATTTTCAGAGTGATTTTGCTCCGTGAAAAGAGAAGACGTTGATTTTTAAAGACATGCATAATGTTACTCATGACGAAGTGATTAACAATCATTTTTTGCAGGAGGAAATAAGAATATATAAAATATAAATGAATCGCTCATTGAGAGTGGAAGTGGTTAAAATGGGCAAAAGAATTTTCTCTTTTTTTCTTTGTTAATGATAGGAGAGCGCATATAAATTTAACACTGTCGCACAAAGAGTTCCAGGGAAGATGAATTCAATTAACATTGGGCATCCAATAACTTGTCTAAGGCCTATATTGTTTAAAATATACGGATGGAGTGTTTGTAAAGTGTTGAAAATCCACAATCTTGTGCCACTCTTCATCTCTAATGAGCACCTCGACAAAGCGATATAACATAAGCTAAGTGGAAATCTCTCTTCTAGTCAGAGTCAGGTATTTAAAAAAGTAGACTTATAAAAAAAGAGAAGAAAAAATCATATTGTGTCATTTTAGCAAAATTTCTACAAGATAAAAGAAAATTCAAGATGAATAAATCGACAAATTGCTAGTAGAAGATTGCATCAGAATTACATGTGGATAAATTTTCCAATTTAGCAATTGTGAAATTTGACAATGAATAATTAAACATTTATTAAACAAAATTGGAAAGAAAGATTTGCAATGGAATGTAGAGAGGGAAATTACTTTAAAAATAGTAATCAATGGAAATAAATATGCATTTAAATATGAATGGTGTCCATTTAGAAGAAGTTCAGAGAGAGAGAAATAAAAAAAAATGAAGTAACAATTTATGAAACATTTTAAAAAGTAGCAAGAGAGAAATCAATTACTGTATAGTAGTAATTATGAAAAACACACATGCTAAGAAAAAACGAAAGTGAATTTAAGAATATTGTGAACATAATTATCTAATAGACGCGAGAGAGACTGTTTATGAATATTAACAAAAAAAATATTTTACACTTCTAAAGAAAAAAAAAACATTAAAAATGATGGAAAATAATAAAACATAGCGTGTAGATGAAGAGAAAGTACGAGTAAAGATAAAAATTCAAAGTGAGAATACTTGTAAGGCATTGTAAAAATGATACTATTAAGTCTAAAATTGATTTTATATTCTTAACAAATTCACTAGTGATTAATGAAGTTAATACTGAAATTGATTTTACTGACAATGTGAAGAAAGTAATAATGAAAACAATTCAACTCATGCACACAAGAAAAATCAAATGTCTAAACATGGATATATTTACTACAATTAAATATAGCTGCTGTTTCTATTGAATGACGGACAGAAGATCATAAAATTAAGTGAAGATGGACAAGTTTAAAGTATAGAATAATCGAGGAGATCACATATGAAGAGGTGCGCGTATTCTTAATTGAATTGAGACAGAGTGAATATAAGAAATAGGTGTTGTAAATAACGTAGAGGATGAATTTGTTGTAAACTATGGCTTAAATATTTTATATAATAAGAAATATCTTTTGTTTAAGAATTAATAAAAGATGGTAAACTATTCACTCAGAAGTAAATTTGAGAAGTTTCACTCAAAAAGGTCGAACCATAGCGAAGACACAAAGTGTACTATAGATGTACATCATTCCAATTTTCAGCCACTGCTCACCAGAGTCGCTAGTGCAACGCAAGGAGAAGAGCTGAAAAGCTACGCCGAGCGAATGGCGCGAGTTACAAACGCCTCTTCGCCGTGTTTGATTTCTTCTTATTTTCTGTGCAGAAATATTGTTGGGATGATGATGACCTATTTGTTTTCCACCGAGGCAAAAGAGAGCAGAAAATTATTTTGTAAATCGTGAGCACGAAGTTTTGCAACATGGCGGCCCAAGAGTGGCTTCTTTTATTGTTTGTCACGTTCCACCAGAATCGCATTTTACCAGCATAAGCAACTTCGAGAGAGCGGCTTCCGTATTGATTCTCATCATGAACCACTGTCAGGAAATAAAGGCAGGATTAGGGTGAATATAACCAGCAATATCAATTGAGAGAGTTGTGGAATTTACAGTTGAAAACATGGCAGAACCTAAGAGAATGTATAGTAAACTATTTGTTTAATTTTGATTTATACCCAATTCTGAAACTCTTTCATGCCCCCGAAAATTATAATAAATGTTTTATTATCAAATCGGTGTAATTTCATAACTTTGCTAAACTATTTGGATCAAGATCTTTCCCTTGGCGATTTCCGTTTGAACTAATTTTTCTAATTCAACAAATCCAATTTTTCGCTTTTCATCTCACATAAAACACCATAAAAATATCTTACTTTTATACAGAAATATTTATGTTGAATTGTGACAAAGTTGCACATAAAATAGAACATGGGTAAGAAATTCAAAAGAAATCAGATAAAAGAATGTTAATTCTGTATGCCACCAGACTTTTCCATTGACACTCTCCTTTCCTGGGTCTGTCTAACCGCTCAGTGTCCATTCTGGATACAAAAAGAACACAAAACATGCACAGAAAAAAACTCCTGCATTGATTTACAAGGCACCAATAAAACGATAAAACTTTTAGTGGCATCCTAATGAACTGCAATGCATGAGTTTAGGAAGAGAGAAAAAACCGTGTAAACATGTTGTAAATTTTATTCCATCCACCCATTCAACTCGCCCATTATTCACAAGCATTGCAACATTTGGACAGAGAACAAAACTGTCAGGAAGACTGAGGAATGTCACTTCGTGCATTCACAGGGAGTCTTTTGCACTCTAAGAGAGAAGAAGACTCTGGAAAGAGCGCGATTCCCAGTAAATTCAATTATTCCAGCATACACACAAAACACTCAAATCATCTGATAGATTGACTCTTCTCAAATTACAACTCAAGATTGTATGGCAAATGTTGAGATTTTAAACACTTCCAAATGTGTGAAAAGTTCCTCCAACACCAACACGAAACAATTAAACCCATTCATTCACTGTGGTTCAGCCGAAATTGTGATTGATTGCAGTGGAAAATCTCAAAAAATGAAATATCAACACTTCACATCGACTGAAAATTATTGGGATGACGAGCCAATGAGTCATTTTTTGTCGCCTGTGTTGCGTGAAAGTCAAGAAATTGTCTTAAATATTTTTTTAAACAACCACAAAGTATCAATTTCAAGGAAAACACGACGTTTTGTGTTTTACAACATTTCTTTCTCGAGATCATTCGTCTCAAAATTGACATAAACGGTAAATAAACAAGTGTTTTTGCGCCGCAAGAGTAAAGAAACCCAGTTTGGAGAGGTGTTAATATTACATGAAAAATAAAATTACACCACATTTCATGCACATCATTCTATTTTCAATCTTACCCTGAAATATATCAAAACTTGCTACTCTAATATTGTTGATAAATAGACTAAAACAAGTCATCAAGTGGCTCAGTCAACACAGAAATGATGTTGATGAGTAACTGACACTTTTGCAACATAAATCGTAAGGATGAGTGAAGAGAAACTGACAAACATTCTGTTTTTAATATCCTTCAAGACAGAAGACGATCCAAAAAACCTTTTCAAAAGAACAAAGCAAAAAAAAACGCCGAAACTAACAAAAACTCAACAGAGACTTTTTACTTCGAAGACATTGCAGGATATCTTTATTTCTCTCTCTCCCAGGATTTGCCTTCTCTGCTCACGTAGATCATTTCCATGGCGATAATTCTGCACATAATGAAATCGTGCAATGAAAATAATTGCAAACAAAACTCAATTATAACAACAAATTTTGGGAATCCATCAACCACATAATAGAGTGGGAAAATATTTTCTGGGTCCGTCGCGGAAAATCCAAGCGTGTTTTTCAACCAATTGAAGCAATTAAGTCACACTCAAACTCAAATTATATACAAAAAACCTTTTTCCATTCCTGAAAATGTTTTGTGATGCGAAAAGTGCACAACACAGAAGTATACATATGTATGTAGAACGCCTCAAGGTGGCTTCGCAGCTCGAAATTATAATTGAAGAGAATATTTAACGTACACTTTGTGCATCCATTTTTTCCCACATAACTTTCCCAAATTGAGACTCAAGAACAATTACAGCAGAAAAAGGTGAACCGAGAAATTCAATGGTATAGAAAAAATCCACCCTCAGGGCGTAATATTTTCCTCTTAGCATTTTTCCGATAAAAAAACGCCACTCAAAATAAAAGCAATTGGCACAGTTTTTGTCAATCAACTGCACGCCACTTTTTATCGCAGGGCGCACAAAACGACGGGAATTTGTTCGCAATTCAATACAAATTGTGCAATCAATGATATTCCAATCGATTAACCTCCAAATATGAGAGCTCATTGTTTTCCCCAGACTCACTTCAGTGGCCAAACAATGTGCAGACAATGAGAAAATAAAACTGCAAACCAAGACTCATTCAATGGACAATGACTTTTTGGTCGATCAACTGAAATTGATCCCGATTTTCAGCCTTTCATCTCGACTGGGATAAAAGAGGTTCTCGTTTTCTTTTCAATTCACGCGCCACGTAATGCATCGAAATGTATTATAGCTGTTAGAGTCAATATTTTGTAGTCATATTCAAAGAATGCTCGTAGTATTCTACGAAATTTGAGGACCGTCTTTCATAAATAAATCCGAAGTTCTGTTTACGAAGAAGAAAGCTGAAATTTCCAACTCTCACCTGAAAATACGATCAGAGTGCATAAACTGGCATGTCGTTTTCAAACACTGATTCTAATTTCATTGTGTACTTTCATGCTGGAGCAACAAGAGTTGAAAATATATGTATCAACTGAAAACACATGTATTTCATATTATGGCTGCTCAGCAGGACTTTTTACCGCTTTATTCAAAGCAAAGAAAGATCGATCATGTGTCACATAAATATCTATTTGGAGAAAAAAAATCAAAAACATCCGCGACTGCAGGAGCCATGCAAAAACGCCCGGCAGATTCGTCTAATCGACAAAGAGGCACTAATGAATTCATGTGCCTGTGCTTTTGGCCAGCTCACCCGGACAATGGCGGGCAGAAGAGGAAATTTTGACATTGCAGCTCGCTTAGCAGGAGGTGTGACTCCGAATTCATTTGTCGCCTCCCGACTTTGTGTCTGAGGGACATCAAAAGATGACTTTATTTTCCGGAATTGCATAGTCTTCCGTGGAATTTATTTGCGTCGGCCAACCACAAAAGTCCCTTTTTTCTCTCACCCCCGCTGTCCTGGCCGGGAAAAGTCACCAGTAGCATGTGCCGACAGAGAGGACAATGGATGATTGGTACAAGATCATATTCTGAGCCCATCAACAATGCCAAAAGTGAAGGGAAGCTTAGCACCTGCTTTTTCCCAACACACAAGCGCGCGCGCCCCGCAAAGCTGCACAAAATATTTGCTGATTTGCAGCGCGTGAAAAAGAGAAGAAATTTCCTATGATCTAGATTTTTTGTCGAGCCCATCAGGAAGAAAAATAAATCATCAAGTGCGTATCATGATTTCATTTACATACTGTGTGATCTAGTTGAGGCAGAAAGAAATTGTGTGTTGTAAATCAAAGAGGCAAAAGACCAAAGACATGAACTCTCAAAAGAAATCATTTTCCGCCACATCAACTTAAGTTGTTTCATCAAATGCCTAATAAACAACTCTTGATTAGAATTTTGGGGATTGCCGAGTAAATACAGTCAAGTAAATACAAAGGTGCACACCAATATAATAATTCAGATGCAATACAACGTTTTCTCTGAGTGTCCGTGCTTCGTGCTTCTGAATAATATTTACAGAAAATCAACCAAAATAATCAAGCAACAGAGAAATGCTATTTTTTGAAGTCGGTTTACATAGAACTCACCCATTTTCCTGGCTTCCAAACTTCACGCGAAGCGACAAAATCTGCAAAATGGAAACTAAAGAGAGAGATTAGAGTGCTTCACTTATTCTCAACATCTCATCCCAAATTGATGATATGTTTTATAAATAATCATTGAAGTGGATCATTCGATTGACATGAGAAACCGAAAATTATTGGAAAGGAGCAAGAATTCTGAGAATTTCGCGAGTTTAAAAAGAAACGGGCACCAGAAAGAAATCAAAAGAGCATAGATATAAACAGATGGTAATCTATAAATATTTCTCTTTCGTGTTATATTGGAAGAGAACCACAAATTTAAGAGGCATATCAAATGGGGTGCGTGCAAATGGAAAAGGTTGTTAGAAGTGCCGAAGAAATATTTTAATTGGACAGATAGCAATAAAAGGCATATCTTCATAGTTTTCTCTCCCAAATTATCCATCTGATATTCCAAATGCCCGCCCAAAGCTAATTATATGTATATATAAAATGAAACGGTCAATTTGAAGATCACACCTTTTTTCTGCACCTATCCAAAGGCCTTTATTATTGATGGTTGTGTAGATTGTAGGAGAAAATGAGGCATGGCGGTGAAAACACCTCAAATTCGACATCATTTCATCGAATTGCGTACACCCTGCCGATCGTGGAACAATGGGAATTAATATTAAATATATGTATTTCTCTCTCTCAATGTGCAATGCAACAATAACTTCTT